TCGTGCGTGCCAGGAGAGAGCCGTCTAGGTGCCCCTCCTTGCTTGGGGGACCAGGTGCTGCTGGTGCAGACTGGCGCTTTGGTGTGTGGGCAAAGGGGTGTGTTTCTCCCTTTAGGTGGTACTTGCATAGACACACTGTGTTTCCCAGTAAGGGGACTTGCTGAGTGGCCTCAGACCTCGCAGCCACAAAACCGGCAGCTGGGGTTTGAACCCAGTTCTGCCGCCCCGAACCTGTGAGCAGCACACTCAGCTGCTCCGCCTCTCGGGTCACGGGAGGCCAGAGGGGGCGGGGCCCATCCGCTTTACTAGCGAGGACACGGGGGCCAGAGCCCAGGGCCGTGCACAGAGCTCCCTGGGGCACCGAGCCAAGGGTGAGCCCCCGTGGAGCTGGCCACAACTTCCTGTCTGGCCATCCATGGCTCTGTGTGTCCATTGACCCACCTCCCTCCTCTGCAGGTGTTGGGCTGCAAACGTCATGCAGAGAGAACACAGGTTGCCTGGGTTTGATGCGCCTCCCACCCCCGAAACACAGGGACACAAGCACAAACCAGCTTCTGCACCTCCTGGTTGGCAAGAAGATAATTTGCCTTGCACAAGGCAAATCACTTACGAAATGTCAGTTATTCTAATGGTCCCTAATAACCATCCCCATGGTTGGTACAAGAAAGTGAGGTCAGCTTGGTCATAGAGAACCAGTCTACCTGGCAATGGCAAGTGTAGCCCAGCCCTGTCGGAAAACTGGCAGGGGTGAGTCAGCACGTGGGAGTCAAAGCCCTGGGTTGGTTTTCCCCGTGGGAAACCAGGCCTGCATTATACCTAGGCTACTTTGAGGCTTGCTTTTGCTAAAACTCCCTCACCCTGAGTTGAAGCAGCAAATGTTTACTGCATATCTTTAAAGTAACTTCCTAAAGGCTATGCTAATTCTCCCAAGGATGAAGTGTAACCAGAGCAATCACTCTTATCGTTCCCTTGCATTTGCAACATTTTTTCCTTGTTAATTTGTAAGAAGTAATCACTAACAACCTTTCCTTTGTTATCTGTAAAAAGTAGTCACCTAAAGCAAACCTGAGCATAATGAATGAGAACCTTCTGTGATGGATGCTGTTAGGAAGCAATAAAAGCCTAGCCAGGTGCTCTCCCACTCAGAGAGTGGCCGTGCCGTCCCTTTTTCTCCACAGGACTTCTGCAGTCCGTGTGCATTTGTTCATCGCACCCACAGCACCGCGGACCCCGCTGGACGGAGTCTGCATCAAACCCTTCCAGCACACGGGCCTCTTCAGAACAGCCCCCTTGGGTGCCGGGGCACAGTCCACCTCCAGCCTCCCCCAGGGTGGCTCTGTTCCCCCTTTGGGGCTGCTGGAACCCACCTCTGTAGGAAGCTGACTTCTACCTGCCACCGTCTGGGAAGGTGTTCCCCAGTAGGGTCCACTTTCCAGGGACCACATACAGGTGGTGGTTAATAAATATTATTGGGCGAGGAAGCTGGCTGTAGGCCGTCACCACACCGGGCCAAGCGTGCTTGTGATTGCCACAGAGAGCCGCCTGACCCCTGGGTGGAAAAGGAAGAGAGAGTCCCAGGCGTTGAGAAGAGTTCTGTAGTTATGCATCACTGGAAGCTTCTGGAATGGACTTAAGGGTGGGGGAGGGGATGCGAGCTGCATGGAGCTTCTCACCACCCACAGGGCTCCACAGTCCCAGCTGGAGGGCCCCTTTGGGTGCTAACTGTGCTAAACGCGAATGTGAACTGGGACTCAGAGCTTTTTAATTTGGGGGTTTTGTTGTTTGGGTTTTTTTTGTTTTCTTGACTGAAGAACACTCCCTGGACCCATCCCCCAAGCTCTCAGGACCACAGCCGAGGCCGAAGCGAAAATAGCCTGGCAGGTGGAAGCTGGTGAGGACCCTTCCCACCCCTTGAGGGAGCACTGGCCTTCTGGATACCCCTCCCCGACACCCCTGACCCTGGCCCCCAAGATGGTGCTGCAGGGAAGACACAGTGCTTCCTGGGCCATCAGCGGGGGGGACAGGCCTGCATTTTGGAAGCCTGGCCGGCCGCAGGAGGGTGTGAAAGCAGCCCCCCCACCCACCAGGTCCCCTCCACGTGTATGAGGACCCCCACCCAGGCCGGCGTGTGCTCGGTGAGCTGAGCCTGGCTTGGGTGCAGGGCTGAGCCGCCACTCCTGTGATGACGCATCTTGAGTGTGCGTGGGGCCTGGTACTTTTCCAAGGGCTTTTAAATGCATTATCTTGTTGGAGGCTCATTTGAGGCAAGGACTCGAAGCGGACTGGAAAACAGCTCGTGTACTGACTCCTGAATGGGGAGGAAGCTGAATGCAGTGTATGTTTTTGCTGAATCTCAGACCAAAACAACCTTTTGTTAAAGAACAAACAAATAAACAAAAATGCCGAACATCAATTCCGCAGGGAACAGTCTGAACGGAGGCTCTGGGCAGAGCATCGCACAGCAAATTCATCCTCGACAAACACGTCGGGGGAGGGGGCTGCCGGGGTCACCGATGTGCTCCTCAGGGGCCGGGGAGTGACAATGAGAAGTCTCCCTCTCATTTACAGGGTAGTGGGGGGTACATCTCAGCCACCAGGGTGGCCTCCCGCCCCCAGGGCCCAGTGGCCTCCTCCTGTCCCTGAGAGCTAGGTGACAACAGCTTCCCTAAGCATGTGCCCAAGACATGACCATGTGGGGGGACCCTGTGTCTTCCCAGGCCCGCAGACCCCCCAGGGACCTGACGCAGGCTCTCGCCTGGAATCCCCACCCCTGCTGGCACAGACCTCACCTTTGGGGATGGGGCTCTCGTCTCAGTGCTGGGGACCGGAGTTGCGGTCGCTCTCCCAGGGCACTGCGGACCGTCGCCCTGGTTCGCCCAGCCCACGCCCACGGGCTGCAGGACGGGGACGGCCGGCCTTCTTCCGCAAATGTCACAGTCCTGCTCCCGCAGCTGAGGCCCGCTGACACGCCTGCCACCAGCCAGCCCCGTGGCCCAGGGGTGGGTGGCTCGGGAGTGACGGCGGGGCTGTGACCCGAGCCGGGGCTGCAGCCAGGACCTGCAGCCTGGTGTCTACGATGACAAAGTCAGCCCCCGAGCCTGGGCTTCCTGGCGGGACACAGGTCGGGCTCTCCCAGCCGTGGGCCCTTCTGAACCTTCAGGCCCCTTCTCCCCCCTGCTCCCCAAAACCGCCCTGGGAGGGGAGCACAGGCTCCGAAAACACGGGTCATTTACCCCGTTCTGCAGGCTGCCAGCGCTGGCGTGCATGTGGGCTCCGTTCGGTGACTCGAAGGCTAGCGGGGTCCCCCGTCCTCTCTTCCCGAGCCCGGGGGAAGCCCACGTACTCCAGCAGAAAGCTGGGGGTTCTTTCCACCCTGGTACCCCCTTCCCCAAAGAGCTGTTTTTCCCTTCTGTCGTCCCTCGTTCCTGACTGCTGGGTACTACGCTCTGCTGCTGGCTGCCCTCCAACCCCAGGCGGGTGCCGGGGTCCCAGAACCCCCAAAGGACATTGTGCAGGCCCGGATGGCCAGCATTCACTCCCCTCCCCCACCTGGCTGAATGTAGGGCTGCGGCCTCCTCTCGTGGGACAGGGGTGCTGACACCCACCTGCCTCCCCTGTTACGTGGGGCTCTACGTGGTGGCGGTGACGGTTGTGGCCAAGTCCCCCCGGGAGCACTCCCTCAGTGTGGCCCCCCCTTTGTCAGGTGTGACAAGCTTCACGACATGGATGGCACGGTCAGGTTCTGCACAGATGTCTCCCCATGTGGCCCACTGGAAACCGCGATCAAGTGGGTCGGCCTGTGCCCACCTGCCCCCCGCTGGCGGCCGCCCCCGACCCAGTTGCCGGGGCTCCAATGAGGCCACAGGAAGCAGTCGTCTCACCCTCAAGTCCTCTGGCCGACAGCCCCCTCACCCCCTGCCTGCAGTCCCCCTGGTGACGGGCACGCAGGCCAGGCCCTGAGTCTGCAGCTGGTCCCCAGCTGGGTCCCTGGCCCCAAGGACGCCTTTGTGCCCTCACAAGGGAGGCTCAGCTCTGCCCTGCTCCTTGCCCCTGCATCCGACAGCCCCCTGGCGAGGGGAGCGGGCAGTGCCGGCTGCCTGGAGAAGGAACTAGACCCCCTCAGCGACCTCTGTCTCCTTCGGGTCCTCTCAGAGGGACGCTGGTGAGAGCTGCTTATTGCGAGGCCATTAAGCAAGCTAATGACCCATGAAGGCTCCCGGCCTTTCCGGCCACCCCGGCCGTGTCTCCCCTGTGCTCACAGAGCCCGCTACCCACCGACTGCCTTGTGACCGCTATTATCGTCACTTAACACGTTGGGTCGCAGTTTTCCCAGCCGGGGCCCAGGTCTCGGAGCCGCTGCCTGCCTTTTCCGGCTGAGCTTGTGGCCGCGCACGCAGCGGGCAGTTAATAAATATTTATTTGGGATCAAGCCCAGAAAGAGTCACCTTGGTTTGCAGGGCGGGGGAAGGAACTTATGAGTCTGGGGACACTTGGGCAGGGGCGAGGTCGTCGGTGGGCCAGGGAGGGCGCAGGTGGTGATGTGCGTCCCGCAGCCGTGTTCTCACCCCTCTGCCCAGCGGAGGAGGCCCGGGCAGCCGCCCCCGAGCCAGGTGGGGCCCGAGCGGCTGGTCTCCTCCCGGCCCAGGCGGCTGCTGTCACGGAGCACCAGAGGGGACAGCGGCCCTGCCTGTGCTCTCGGCCAAACTCCGGAGGAGCAGGCTCCTGGGTTCCCCCGGGACCCCTCACCTGGGCCCAGGCGGGAGGTCTCCCTGGATCCCGGCCAGGCCTGGCCCTTCCGCCCCAGGGTTGTGCCCTTCCGTGCGAAGGACCGAGGCCGACCCGGCACAACGCCCGGCCTCCCGGTGCGCAGGGGGCTGGGACAGCCTGCCCCGCAGACCTGGGCTCGCCAACCCAACGGTATCCTTTGGGAGGAGGTGGCAGCAGCCCTCAGGGCGGGTTTCCGACCCCGGGCGGGGGAGAGAGAGAGACAGAGGCAAAGGTGCGATGAGGGGCAGCCACATTTAATTCAACCACGGGCGGACTGGAGGGGGCCGGAGCAGAGACTCCTTTTGCTCTAAAACATGGATTCCCCGAAGCAAGTCACCTCCGTCCTTTGGAAGGGGTTGGTTGCCCGGACACAGCAGCAGCCCCGGCCTGAAGCGTGGGCCCGGGCTCCCTGTAATACAGGTGCCCCCTGCGAGGGGCCTGGGGCTGGAAACAGGGCCACGAGTGTCTGTCTCAGGCACCAAGTGGATGCAGGACATGTGAGGGCCACCAGGCCAAAGGCACTGGGGCTGCCGGTGTGTCCTGGGGCCCAAGGTCATGCAGAGGCCCCGGGGGGGGGGGAGCGCAGTTCGCAGCAGCTGGGGGGATGCCTGCGGGCCGCTGGAACAGCAACGGCCCCCCGTGCTTCCCGCCCCTCCCCCAGGGCCCCGCGACTCCTCCACTGCCTTCGAAGACAGAAGGAGCCATTTCCATCGCCACGACAACTATACACAAAAACAAACCAGAGCCCCTCTTATGGTGTTCTCTTCCAATTGCTTAAAGTTAATGAGTGCAGAGCGAGGCAGGGCCGTCCGTCGCTGGGCCGGGAGGGCGGCCGGCCTCACACGAGCCTGCGCCGCTTGGAGTCCCTCTCCACGTCCCCCTCCTCCTCGGCGTCCGCCTCGCAGCCGAGCGGGGACACCAGGTTCAGCAGAGGGTCCTCGGAGGCTCGCCCGAAGAGCGCCAGCAGGAGGGCCACCCCGAAGCCCGTGGCGCGCTCGCCCTGCGGGCAAAGGGCAGGTGGGCGTCCTGTGCCGGCGGGGCCAGACCCAGGCCCGCTCAGCCTCTGGAGCCCGCCTCTGCCGGGAGGAGTTCCAGACTGGGGTGAGACGTCCACCTCCCCGCCTTCCCCCACAGACCCCTCGGCTGTCCCGCCGCACTCAGGACCAAGGAGTGCAAAAGGGTGAGACCCCAGCCCCCGGGGCACTTGCCGAGGATGGGCTGGCTGGGGAGGGGCCGCGCACAGTGGCCACTCGGTTCCCAGGGGCGAGGAGACCAGAGGTCGGGAAGGACCGCAGTGGGCGGGGAGGCCGGGCCATGCGCGGTGTGACCCCCGACACAGAATGAGCTCCGATGAGCTCAGCCTGCAGCCCTGGGGCCAGAGAGGGGCTCGGGACACGCAGCACGGGAGGGTGGGAGCCGTGCTGGCGGCGGGGAGCGGGCAGGTGGGAAAGCGGATGGGCGGGCCAGCCGAGGAGGCGTCCTGACGGGCGGGAAGGCACCCACGGGGGGCCCCCGGACTCACGGCGTGCACGGGTGCAGCGATGTCCAGGTGGACCCAGACCCCGGGCCAGTCGAAGCCGATGTGCGAGGCAATGAAGAGGCCGGCACAGGAGCTGGGGCTGTTGTCCCGGTCCTGGGGGGGCGGAAGGACAGACAATGACCGTTCTTCCCCTCACAGTGGGGGCACGGCTGTGGCCCCTCCCACGCCCCCTGGGGTGCCCCCACTGCCATCCTCAGCCACCACGTCCCCTGGTGTCTGAAAAAAGAGGCCCGGGGTGAGGGTCCGGTGCGGGGAGGCAGCTGAGAGGGACCCAGGACCCCAAGGACGTCGCACGTGGGCTCAGGTCCGCCCTCACCGCACGGCAAGGAGGCGTCCCGCAAAGGGACTGACGGCGGGGACAACGGACCCCAGAGGGGGAGGCAACCCAGGACCAGGCGTGGTGGACATGCTGGCGGGGAGCCCCGGGAGTGGTGCGCCCCTGCTCTGGACACCCTCCCCTCCCCCGCCCCCACCGAAGCACGGAGTAGGGGGGCCTCCTGGGCAGGCCGCATCCCTACTGCTGCTGCTTCATGGGGTCATGCTGACTCCACGAGGGCAGGGCGCTGCCTGCCCCGCCCCCCCCCAGCCCAGGTGCCCCTCCGAGCCTACCGCCACGGAGTTCTTCATGTCGGCCACGGCCGAGGTGAACTCGCTGAAGTGCAGCTCCGGGCAGTAGACCAGCGGGTGCACCAGGTCCCCGCACTTCCTCCCGCACTTCACGCAGGCCGCCTCCCACTCGGCGCTGTTGGTGAGCACGGCGGCGTGGTACTTGCCCGTGGCAATGCCCTGGGAGGCGGCCCCACGGGGGACCAGGGAGAGGCGGATGGAGCCCCCGGGGAGAGGGGGGCACACACGGCAAGAGGGGGCAGAGAGGACACAAAGAAGCCACAAGAGACGTAGTGAGAGGCAGAGACAGCCAGCGGGAGGAAGGTGTCCCGACCCGTCCCGTGCCGGCATCCAGGCCCCAGCCCCCAGCTCTGCCACCGACAAGCTCCCTGGTCCCCTGCCCAGGCGATGAAGATGCAGCGACAGCAGCTCAGACTCCCACCTGGGCCCCGGTCAGCGTGGCCATGTCCAGGATGATGTCGGCCCCCAGGTCCTTGCAGGCGTAGGACACGCCGTCCGCCAGCACCAGCCTGCCCTCGGCGTCCGTGTTGTTGATTTCCACAGTCCTGGGGGTGGCAGAGACACCACTCAGGATGGTGCTCCCTGGGACCCTTGGAGTGAGTCCCTTTGGCACTGGAACGCTGGTCTCTGCAACCCCCCGGGGGTCAGAGCCACCACTGCGCCCTGCAGCCTTGCAGGGCTAGGTCAGGAGCAAAGGCCACCGGGTCGGGGCCACCCTGTCACTCTCAGCTGGGGCAAGCCTGTGCCTTCGTCTCCTCGTCTGCAAGGTGGGAGAACGGGCCCATGTAGGTGACATTTACACAGTTCCTGGCCCTGGGTCAAAGTGGAGGAGGACGTGCCACTCAGGGTAACCCTGGGGACGAGCACCCCTGTGTGTGTGTGGCGGGGGCGGGGGGCTGTCCCACGAGAGCAGGCTGGATCCCAAGCTCCTGAGCCCTGACCACCTTCCCAGACAGCCCTGGGAGCAAGCAGCCTGCGGTCCAGGGCTACCGGTCGTAGGGCATCCTCCGGCGGGATGTGCCCCTGGCTGGAGCGAGCGGGGTGAGATCTGCCCCCCCCCCCCACATTGGGCACGACTCCAGCGGACTGGCCTGGCTCCGGAAGGAGGGGCGGCCCGCCCGGAGGGAGCCAGGCTGACGCGCAGTGACCCGAGGGGCGGCCTTACTTTCCCGAGTACAGCAGGTGGATGTCATCGGGCCGCGTCGCGTTCGGCCCCACTGCGTTCTCGGCCAAGCAGAACACGGCATGAAGGTTGTCCTTGAAACCCTGGAGGGGGCGTGGGCAGAGGCTCCAGTTACCGGCCGGCGGTGCTCATCCGGGGAGGCCGAGGGGCCCTGGGGGGGCGGGGGCGGCGCGGGCCGGGCCAGGCGACGGCCTCATCGCATGCGGGCCGCACTCCTCGTTAGTCTCCAGCCGGCGCGGGGACGAGAGAACAGGCGACTCGTGCTCCTTCTGCAACGTCCCCCCGCAGGGCCCGCGGACAGCCTGTGGCTTGCGGCTCTGCTTGAGAGAGACCCTGGAAAGGCCGGTTTCCAATGCGGCTGAGACGGGCAGAACCAAGAGCTGGCCTGGCTCCGGGCCTGGCTCCGGAGGGGCCGGCCCCTCAGCCCTCCTAGAAGCCCCTGCCCCCTGGGGACCCAGCCCCGTTTCCTCCTGGGGTCTCTGCCTCCCTCTCGGGAGACGGGCTGGGCTCCTGGCTGGCATGGATGAGAAACTCTGCCCAGACCTTGGGTTCAAGCTCTGAGCTCACCCCCAGGGCCCAGGCCAGACGGGCAGGCCCTGTGGAGAGTCGGGACCTTGGGCTGAGTGACCGGAAGGGCCGGGCAGCTCAGACGCGTCACCCCCTGGTCAGGGCACACCACGCCTTTGTCGCACGAACACGTCTCATGGCACAGCGTCTTCCAAAGGACGCCCCCCAGCCTCACCCCGCACCCCAGGACATCTCGGCCTCAGGGCAGGGAGGGGCTGCTCCGGAAGCCGTGCTTCCTCCCATTTTTAGAGTTTTGGGTCTCTGATGGGTGCAGATCCCCCAGGAAGAACAGGGGAGGCTGCGAGGGAGGGGGCACGCCCTGGGACCCCTCCCCACCAAACTGCAGAGGTGGGACCCCACTAACCTGCTTGATGGCGGCTCTGAAGGCCCCCAGGATGGCTGCGGCGCCCCCGCAATCCCTCTTCATCCCTGGCATGGTGGTCTGGGGGCGGGCAAAGCGGGGAGAGAGGGCTGAGAGGGTGCTGACTGGTTGGCAACAGTGCCCCGTCCACCCTGTCCCACCCTGCCCAGCGACCCCAGAGGCGCTGCCCAGGCCCGCAGGACCTAGAGGAGAGATGCCAGGAAACACCTTAGAAGCAATGGGAAGTAGAGGCTGGAGACCGGGAGACCCTTTCTGAACACAGCTTTGGGGGCTATCCAACAGAACTGCAGCAGGTCGGGGGTGGGGGAGGAGGACATGGGGGAGGAGGGCACCCCAGAGCTGCCGCAGCCGCAGTAGCCAGGCCGCTACTCAGACAGGCAAAGACACGGCCACCTTGGCCCGGAGGCTGGGGTGTGGCCCGTGGCCGGGCTGCCCCGTGAGCAGGCCCCACCTCCCCGTCTGGCGTGGGACGGCGTCCCCATCGGGCCTTGCCGACACTTGTGTTCTCGGCTCTCTCTGCTCCTCCACGTCACCATCGTGAGTGATTTCCCCCGGTCAGTGTGAACGCTACAGATGTCACGGTCACATCGCCACCCCCACCCCCACCGGCGGGGACCCCTGCTGTCCCGCCATCCTGCCCACTGTCCACTGGCATCTCCTGGGTAGAGCGGTTGCGTGAGAGGCGGCTGGAGACGGAGGCGCCCGCCCGCCACCGAGGTACGCGTGATGTCTGTAAACCGGCGCAGAGTGGTTACATGTTTTTACATTTTATAGGCTCCCCACGCTAATTGACAAGCTCATATTTTAAATTAACAGCAGGTCATCACGTGGAAGGATTCGGGTTTGCAATGTACCGAGTGATGTTTTGAACCTTTATCGGATTACGTGAGCCTCGAGTTTTAATGGAAACTATTTTTAGATATAAACTGAGCTGCTTTTACAATTAAATCAAAGGAACATGACCCAGCTGGCACTCCTGAAAATAAGCTATCTCCTTTGACCTAAACTGCGAAAAAGCCCAGGATTGTTTAAACGGAAAAACGGGGCCTCGGGTCTGCAGTCAAACTACTTGCAAAACGGCCCGCAGGAAACAGCTCGAGGCGGTCACCGGAGTCACGTCCCTGTCACTGGCGCGGCCTCCCTCCCAACCACGGGCAGACAAACGCCGCACTGCAGTGCGGGTCTGCTGGTGCACGCTTCGCAGCGCCCCTGTGCCGTTTCTCCTTTTCTAAAGGGAACGACTCCCAGAGTGACACTAAGGTGGCCTTTGCCCTTTGCCCTGGGCTGACGCTCACACCCACGGGCCACAGGCGACAAGTGGACAGCGGGCACAGCACAGCACGCGGCATGGCACCGAGGCGGCCGGCCGGCGCCCGGCCCATTTCCGGCCCCCAGGAAAGCACAGCCCGGCCGGTCCCCCTCGCCTCTCCTTGCTGAGGCAGGAAAGTTACTGCCGCGCCACCACTCTCAGCCCCGGAGTACAGCCGCTCTCCGCATTCCCGGGGCTCCAGCGAGGGAGGGCTGGGGAGGGCGGGGGCAGGGAGCAGCCCCGAGCTCCCGCCTCCTCCAGCCTGTCCTCACCAGCACCCTTCTTGCTCGAAGGAACGGCTGGGCTACGCCGGTCACTTGGCAGCTCCTTCCTCAAAAATGAACAAATCGGGCCTCTCCCTTCCAGGAAAAGTTCCACTGTTGTTTGTTGCCAATGGTCAAATTTGAGCTTTTAAGCAAAAAATAAAAAGGTCAGAATTTTCAGAAAACTTACATCTGCCTCCAGCTTCCAAATACTCAAATGCCTTTTTAAAATGACATGGGGGGTGATATTAACAAACGGGACTTAAAAAAATACTGTGTGACGAAATGTGTCAAACTTGAGGAGTTCTGCGTAACTCTGCTAACAATGTCTTCCAAAGGACCCATGTGCGTTATGACAAAGTCGTGCATTCACAGCTCACGCGACGCCAGTCGGTTTTAACGTAGCGGCATAATCTCCACTGATGCCTTTTCAGGGTCCACCTTAGAGCTGACCTTTCAGGAGCTACCACTTGTCAAGTTTTGGTGTGATAGCAAAGGAGAATGTTCTTAGTTCTAAGACATGTACTACAACTACTTCTCCTTTTCCACCTACAAAATGAGTGAGGCCAGACTTTCCTCCCCCATCTCAGCGGGAACAGCCTATCACCGATCACGGTGCACCAGAGGCCGAGGCAGCTACGTGAGCATGGCTGCCTTCCCTTAAGGCGGGCACGGCAGAGATTTGGAAACATGTAGAATGATGCCACTCGTCTCACTCATTTTTTTCACTTTGGAAAATATACTTATTGTCAGCCCTGGCTGATGTAGCTCAGTGGATTGAGCGTGGGCTGCGAACCAAAGTGTCACAGGTTCGATTCCCAGTCAGGGCACATGCCTGGGTTGCAGGCCATGGGCCCCAGCAACTGCACATTGATGTTTCTCTCTCTCTCTCTATCTCCCTTCCTCCCCTCTCTAAAAATAAATGAAAATAAAATCTTAAAAAATAAATAAAATAAAATACAATAGAAATTTTTAAAAAGGAAAGAAAATATACTTATTTTCATATTTACATTAACATGCAGGTCAACAATGGGTCTGTGTTATTTTTAAATGAATCCATATATCTTTGAAACGTCCCCGTTTTAATTTCCAGCACGGGAAGTATCGACACACATCACTCTTACACACAAAACCTCTTTGGATCCCTGCTTTAAGAGCATCAGGGGTCCTGAGGCGGGCATACTTGACGCCCGCTCGTTCTTGCTGACCCTGGTTTGCCTTCGAACCCTTTGGAAATGGAACCTGACTGTTCCTCCTAAGCTGGGGGCTGGTGCCACCCGCAAAATGACTAGTTTCCAGAAAGCCCCAATTCCCACTCCGACCCTCCCACAAGCCAGCATCCGCAACAAGCATCCGACCCCGGGGGAAGCAAGGCCATGGTTCTGCGGGCCGGCTCTCAGCTGCCTCCAGGGCAAGGGCGGCAGGGAGGGGGTGCCCAGCCCCAGAGAAGCTAGAGGGGGCTCATGGTCTGGGGAGAACTGAAAAGCAGTAATAAACCGACTAAAAGTCAGCCCGCCTGTTGTCATCAATGGTAAATTGCTCTGAAAAAAACCTGTTGTTGGTTGAAGTGAGTCCTAATCATATAAATAAAAGCTTCAAATTGCCCATTTTAATTACTAATCCTTTTAGGAACATTATTCTAATGGATGGTAATAACTGCCAGTTTCCCAGCCGGCCCCCACGCACAGCGCAGCGACGTGCCTCCGGGCGCAGGGCAGCCCGGAGGGTCGGCGGGGTGCGGGCGAGCGCATGGACCTGGGCCCGGGGGCTGCGAGTCTCAGGCTCCCGCCTGCAAACAGGGGCCTCCAGGGGCGCCGCGGACTCAGATTCCTTCGCTTCTCTCAATCTACGGGAGCACCTGGAGTGGCGTCTGAACGGTTTGCACTCCGCAGGTGTTGGAAGGCCCCTGGAATCAATCTCAGAGAACCGAACACGTGGGCAGTATCACAATTTCTGGGGTTTCTTGGGAAATGGAAGTTTCAGCAGTCCCTACCAAGCAATCCTGAGGCCGAAGACTTTTCCTGAGTGGTTGTGTTTTGGTGGCTTCAGCTCCCAGAAACCCCTCAAAATGTAAAGCAGTAGTATCGGCCACGCGTAAAGACGGATGGATGCACCTGGGACCTCTCTCTGTCTAGTGCATGTGAGCATGTGGAGATCAGTTTTGATACAATCTCGGACAGGTCCGCAGGGGTAAGGCCGGAGGACACAGACCTGAATCAGGCCGGTACCCACTCCCACAGCCAATATGGGGGCATGAGTTTTTTCCATGAAAAAGATTACATTCATACTAGTTCAATGTGTTAATCCACGACTGTCCTTTTCATTTGTATCATAATATTGATTTTAAGCTCTCTACTGGCATGGAAATATACATGGAATTCAATAAGAGAGTTCACTGTCAGTGAATTCGATATCGGTGGGGTTTTTCTAACTGTTTTTATTACTAGTTTCATTTCCTGACTAGTCCTGCATATAATTTTGTTTGGAGAAGGAGGACGTTGAAAAACTACAACAACAACAACAACAACAGACCGCCTACTGCAGCACAATGTCTACCCTAAATAGCAAGGGACACTGGGGCTCCACGTCGGAGAGGTGACAGGGCGTGGTGGGGCCTGCGGCAAACCGCAGGATGCAAGCTGTGTCCCTGGGGCAGTGACCCTGGGGCAGCGACCCTGGGCAGCCACCACTGCGCTCAGCGGAATGCTGGGACCGGCAGGAACACGGGACCGGCACTGCCAGATTCTCTGAGCCTACACAAGGTCCCAAATCCAGTCTTTTGGGAGAATTCTTGCTGCTTTTAAAAGTTGGTAACTAACTCAAATTTTGAAACACCGTTTGGGCCCCGGCCGGGTAGGTCGGTTGGTGAGGGCGTCGTCTCGATGCACCAAGGCTGCAGGTTCGACCTCCAGTCAGGGCGCATACAAGAACCAACCAGTGAACACAGCCGTGAGTGGAGCAAGTTGGATGTTTCTCTCTCTCCCTCCCTCCCCCGTCCCCTCTCTCTCTCTAAAATCAGTAAATTAAAAAAACACGCTGCCTGGGCCAACAGGACGCAGCTGTGAGCCACGCGGGCAGCCAGCATTCACGCCTGTGCTCTCGGTATGAGCTCAGCCTGCTCTCTCCCTTCCAGAGCTTTCTCTTGGGGACGGTCGATTCTCTTCCCTTTGGATTTCCTGGGGCATCAGTTTCACATGCCTGCTCTTTCGGAGCCCCCCCCAACCCCCACCCCACGGCAGTCTTTGTCCCCTAGAGCCCAGCCCCGGCCTGTCACACAGGTTGGGGTGGGGGACAGACGAAGGCCTCTGGCTGCCTCTGTTTCCTGCACAAAGGGGGCTCCTGGGCCCAGCAGGCCCCAAATGCACTGGGTGCGGAGGAGGGTAGGCCACTGAGCGGCTGACAGACTCGGGCACAGGCTGGTCCTCCCTAAGTACCTGCCCTCCCAAGACTGCGAACTTCAAAGGCCACCCACAGGAGTGACGGCTGAGACTTCAGCGTCACAGCCATGCTCCCTGGCAGCTGGCCTCCGGGTCCAACCCCCTCACCCCCGCTGGCTGTACCCAGGGCCTTTCTCACTGTCCCCCAGGGACACCTGGTTCCTTGAAGGCTGCCTCCTGGGGTTCTGGTTTCCCGCCCTTGAATCATTTCTGCAGCTTTTTTCTGGCTTCTCTCCAGATTTTTTTTTTGTTTGTTTCCAGACCCCTGTTCGCAAGGTGAGTCCATAATCGCGTCCCTCTCCGAAGGGGAACAGGGCCCACTAGCAGCCCCCAGACACCTGGCCACCTTCCTCCAGCACCTGAGAGCCAGGAGCCCGCCTAGATCCCCTGCACGCTGGGACCCCCCGAGCGCTGGCCCCAGCACCTCACCTTCCCTTTGATGCTGAGACCCCCGGTGTCGTAGACGATCCCTTTGCCCACCCATGCGATGGTCTGGGTGGCTCCGTCTGGGGTGTGGCTGAGGACGGCCAGAGCCGGGGGGTGGAGGGCGGCTTTGCCAACGCCGTAGATTCCTGCGGGAAGCACAGGGAGGGGTCGGTCAGGCTCGGGCTGCACTGAGCAGAGGACTCCGCGCAGCCCCCCGGAAGCAGCAGCTCTCCCACCGGAAGTGCCCCCTGGTCCTGGGGTCTCTCCCCTGGAACGCTGCACGTCCCAGCCAGCTCCCGGCCCTCTCTCCCATCCCCTGGCCAGCGGGGCTGAGGGACGCAAATCAGCTCCAAGGCTCTGGACTGCACACGGAGCCTCGGCAAAGCATTGTTAGGCAAGAAAACCCACTGAGAAAAAAATACGGTATGGTTCCCAGGAAGAAAGGAACAGGATCGCAGGAGAAAATGATTTTTGGACGCCACTCCGTGGTTCTCCCGCCCACGCTTGGCCTCCCTTCCACGGACCCTCCGCGCTCTCAGAACTCGGCGCTGCCCCTCCCGAGCTCACTCCTACCACGCTGCCTCGCCACGCAACGCACGCCCCGTCTTTGCAAGCAAGCCCTGGCCCACTGTGGGCAGAGTCCATGCCTCAGGTGCCCCGCAACGGAACTGAACAGTCACAGCAACCGGGACAAGAGCCAGTAATGGCTGCCGGGCAACCTCCTACTCATCGTGCAAGACCCACTGCGAAGGTCGCCTCCTCTGGGAAGCTTTCCCCGACGGGCACGGCCTCTCCCTCCACTTGCAGTTGGTTCCGCCAGGACAGGCGCTGCTGAGACGGCCACTAGTGGCCCCTGCCCTAGGGCACTCGTGACCACTCCGCCCAGGAGGGGCGGGACCCCCCGTCCCACTTCTGCACACGGCAGAAGGGAGGAGGTGCCGCCTCGAAGGGGAGGTTACAGACACCTGGCCTGAATCTGGCTGCTCGCTCCTTCTCGCTCTCTGACTCAGCACGTGCCCGGGGGAGCGGCTGCCATGCTGCGAGCTGCTCAAGCAGAGGCCCGCGTGACAAGGAACGGTGTGCCAGCCCCTGAGACCCACTGGCAGAGCCTTGAGTGGGAGCGGCTGGGGCCTGCTCCCAGCCCCAGTCAAGCTTTCGAATGAGGGCAGCCTTGGGGATGGCCTCGGGCCCCAACCTCTGCCCACGGAGCTGTGAGATCGTGAATGTATGTCCCTCTCAGCTGCCACCTTGTGGGGTCATTTGTTCTGTGGCCACAGAGGACGAACACGGTGACCTGACCCCAGGTGGTCTGAAAGCACCAGGCCCCGGGCTCACTGCACCACCGGTGCCCGGGCAGTGGGGGGGACGGGGCTGGTGGGCAGGGGAGACCGTCTGCGGGGGCGGCTTGGAGCCGAGGCGTGCGTCGCACGGCAGCCCCGCCCCGAGAGCATCTTGGAGGCACGCGCTCCCGATGGAGGGAGCCAGAGTACAAGGCCTGGTGCGGACGTGGCCGTGTGCATTCGAGGAACAGAAAGGCCCCGCTGAGTTGGCCCTGGGAGCGGGACAGCAACACGTGAGGAGGCCGGGGGGGGGGCGGAGGGGGGGCTTGGACCCCACGGCTTCCAGAGTCTGAATCAGAGCCTGAACCGCTGCCTCCTCTCTCCCCGAGAGACAGTCTGCGGTCTGCGTCCCAGGGCCTGGCCTCGGCGCTGGACTCAGGCCAGCTCCTCCTGGGATGAAGCAGCAACGACACCCCAGGCGGCCCCCTGCCACCCTGCCCGCCGGGGCGCCCGGGACCACTCCCCAAGGCCGAGACCTGCGAGGGCCCGCCCCCACTCACCTCCAAATCCTCGGGTCTTCAGCTCCTCGTCCCGGATGATGGTTGGGGTGATCCCCAGTTCTTTTCCAACTTTCTTAATCTCCTGGACTCGTTTGTGGAAAAAACAACAACGCAGAGACACGTGAAGACGGCTTAGCTCGAGGCGAGGCCAAAGCTCCGGGCCAAGGAGGAGCGGATGGCCCTTTGGTGGGGGAGCGGGCAGGCTCCGAGGCCAGCGGCCCTGACTCTCTCTCTCACTCTCGCTCGCAGTGTGATTAAACCCAGGAGGAAAGGCTCGCCCTCCAAACTCTGCAATTTCCTGCAGCTCGTGGCTGGAGTCCCGCAAAGAGGCCTTCGAAGGAGGCTCTACCCCCCCTCCGCCCTCGGTGGAGAGAATGCGGCCCCTTGGAGCTGGGTGGGGCGCAGAGCTTGGCCCGCAGCTGCACCAAGCTTCCCCAGGCAAAGCGCCGAGACTGTGAACGTTGTCCTCCTCCGGCCCCCAGCTCCCCGCTGACCCTCCCCAGGGTCCACGAACACCCACCCCATCCCGGTCCCACCCCCTGGGCGCGCACCTCAAGGAACGTGTCCGTGTTCATCTCATTGCAGGGCGTGTCCACGATGCGGGCTGCCAGCCGCACGCTGTCTGTGGTGTTTGTTAAGCACTGGGAGAAAACCACAGGCTGTCACGAGGGCCCCGGGGCCAGGTGGAAGGGGCTGTCCCTTTTTGTCCATTCCCCTGGGGCCCGTAACGTGTCAGAGGCACATGTCATCCGGGGGAGGCTGCGGGGCTGTGGACGGGACAGCGAGGGGGCAGGTGGAGGGGAAGCAGGAGTCACGCGGCCCTGGTTCCTGCTGCCCACCCGGCCACCCGGCCTGGCACAAGTGGGCCCACAAGCCTCCCGGCCTGCTGCTCGCCGCCTCCCAGCAGCGGGTGGCCCTTGCGCTGGGCCCCAGTGGGCCCTGGGCACTGCCCACTCCCTCTCCCGGGGGGCCAGGAGGTGCTGCCCCTATTACAGACACATCCGGCTGCCCCAGACCTGCACAGTGAAGCCCCAGCCCCCACGGTGATGGGGTCAGGAGGCCTCTGGGAGGCTGGGAGGGTGGGGCCCCACGATGGGGTTAGTGTCCCTACGAGAAGCAGAGGAGACCGGAGCTCTCCCCCTCTCTGCCCCAGAAGGACTCGGTGAGGAGCGGGCAGCCGTCTGAAAGCCAGGGAAGGAGCCCTCCCCCCAGCCCACCTTGACCTGGGACTTCCAGCTTCCAGAGTGGCCGGGAGTGAACATCCGCTGGTCAGGCCGCCGCGGCTGTGGGCTTTCCTGATGGCGGCCTGAGCTGACCAACACACCCTCCCTTCTCTTCTTGGGGGGGGGAGGGGCGGGGTGTTGGGGGGGTGGTACCCAGCCATCCCATGGGACACTTCTCATAAGCCTCCTCCCCCAGAAGCTTCTCTGGGTGCTCCCGAAGGTGGAAAAGCACTCTAGGTCCTCAGCCTCTGGGTCGAGGGCAGCGGAGCACAGGGGGGCGCGGGGGGGCTGGCGGAGGCTCCCAGGGCCTCACCGCGCCGCCCCCGCAGAGCCACGTGGCTTTGGGGAAGAGCCTACACCTCGTCACGCCTCAGGTTCCTCACCACAAAAAGCAGGACCATTCATTCATTCATCCCACCCATGCTGATGCAAGCACCTACTACGTGCCGGGCCCCATGCTAGACCCAGAATCTGAGGGTGATCGAGGGTGCAAGGCCAGCCGAGGCTGCAACGTACCACTGCGCTCGGTGCTACAGAGGAGGAGGGTGGGAGACGCCACGGGGACCCGGAGGGGACCAGGGGACGGATGGGTACCGAAGAGGGTCCCGTTAAGGAGCAAAAGGCCTCTTTGGGAGCCGGCCCCTCCTGAGATGACAATTTGAGACAGACGGTGGCGGCAGCTGTGCAAAACCCCGCCCCTTGCAAAGCCCCGCCCCTTGCAGAAGCCCCGCCCCTTGCCGGGAGTGGACCCGTCAAGTCACTCCCGTCTCGGAGCTGTAGTCCACTCCACGCCAGGACGGGAATAACAGCAGGTCCCCCCTCAGAGGGCCCGCCTGACCCCTGAGGGCGCGCACATGTGCTAGAGCGGGGCCTGACCCCTGGCGGGTGCCCGGAGGGCTCTGGCTATCACGTGACCAGCTTGGCCGTCCCGAGGCAGTGCGGAGGGGGCGCTGGGGGAGGGACCAGTTAAGGGACGACTGTGGGGTCCGGAGCCGTGGGCGTGGGTGGGGGGCGCCCTGAGCGACGGCATCGGGCCGCGTGCTGCGAAAATCACGAGTCCGAGCAGGTCCCTGCGCTCAGGGGCTCCGGAGGTGGCAATGACAGAGGGTGACGTGGGAGAAAGGACCACGTGGGTCTGGCTGCTGGGCGGGGGCCCCGAGGTGGTGGGGGGGAGGCAGAGCGCTGGGATCTGGGAGGGTCATAGCACAGGGGAGGGCGCTTTGTGTGACGTTCAGCCACACGAGGACCTCAGAGCTGGAAGACACTTCCCGCCTTGCCTGGGCCCAAAGGACTCTTCTGAGGATCCAGTGAAACAGCGGAGGTGCGAGCCCTCCGCAGAGGGGAAGGTGGCAGATACAGGCACAGGATTATCAACACGAAGACGGGCAGGCGCCCAGTCTGCCCAGGCGCCCAGCACCCACTGGCTGCACAGAGCCTCATCCTGGAGATGAAGCCCCGCCTGGGGGGGGCCTTCTCAGGGGTGACAGCAGCCCTCCCGGCCCCCCCCCGCCACAGGAGGGGGAGCTCGCCCCCAGACACCCCCCCCCCCCCCCCCACGGCCCAGGCACACTGTCTGCACGTCCAGACACCCACTTGCAAAGTGGACACTTCCACCGGCCCGTTGTCTTGTCCCACCAGGAAAAACTCCACGGTGACCGTCTTCTTCTCCGTGCGCCGTGATGCGCCGGAGCGGTGGGTGAACAGCGGGAAGGCTCGGGCCAAGGCGCAGGCGGAGGCGAAGACGTCGGACCGCTCGCAGGCCATCTGCAGCACGGAGGGAACCGGGATGAGGGTGGGAAGCGGGGGCCACGGGGGCCAGGGCCACCCAGGGAGCCGCAGTCCTGGGGTGCTGGGGCTCACAGCTGGGTCAGGGGCCACCGTGCACAGAGTCAGGACACAGGCATTCTAGCGAGGCCTCCCCCTCGGCCACTCGCTGTCTCGCTGCCCGGGAAAGGAAACCCCAGTGACCGGATGCCATCTGCGGCCGTCCGAGGCAGGAGAGCAGGACGTGAAGGGACTGCGGCAGGGGCCTGTCTGCATCTGCACCTCGGAACTGTCTGCAACACTGATCTGGGGGAAACAGCTTCGCGTCTCTGGCCTCAGTTTCCCTGTCTGTGCGGCGGGAGTGACAACGTCAGGGTTGTGGCGGCCTCTGAGCTACGGTGGGCCAGCGCTCTGCCAGGCCGGGCGAGCTAGGGCCCTGCGCTCCCTGCCCGTGACGGAAGCCGGCTTCCCTGCAGCACTCACCACGATGCACCGGTGCGTTCCCGGCGGCAAGCAGGTCCGCACAAGCCGGGTGACGAAGTGGGCGGCCGAGGGGCTGTTGTGCCGGCTCACCCGGGAGGGCAGGGCGGCCACAGTGGCATAGTTCAGGTAGAGGGGACAGCTGTCCGTGGGGTTGGGGTTGAGCGTGCTTAGAGCGGCCTGCCAGAGCTGGGCGGGAGGGGAGAGACGGAGACAGACACAAGACCTCAAACAGCCCGCATGCCAGGTGGCCCCGAGAGGCATGTGGACGCTTGTAGTGCTAAGGGGCCCCTGTGCAGCGTCCCCGAGGCGCCCGCCCCCCGTCACGGAGACGTGTGGCCTCCGCCTAGAGCTCAGTGTGTGTGTCTGACAGCACAACTGCACCTGCGGGGCCGGGCAGTGGGGGTTTGAAGGCCGGTTTGGGGGCTGCTTTGCTTGGAACGCAAGAAACCCCCACTGGGGACGCCCAGCCAGGTGCCACTGAAAGTGGGGACAAGTGGGCACAGCCACGGGGGTCTGGGAGGAAGCATTTCCTTCGAGGTGGCCTGTTGTGTGCGGGCTGGTGGTGTCGAGGCAGCGACCCGGGCCTGCCTGGAGGCCGGCCTGGCCCTGCAACGCTCCGGCAGCAAGCAGGCGGGCAGGCAGGCGGGCGGGGGGCTCGAGCGCGGGCCAGGCGGGGCCTCGGCGCCTCCCCGCCGCCCGACCCCGCCCGTCCCCCCGCTAGCCGGCGGGGCGGCGCAGGGCGGCGGCGCGCGGCCCGCTCACCTCCTCGGTGACCCGGGGCTGCAGCTTCCCGCGGACATGGCTCCAGGGCACGCGGTGCAGGTGGTGCAGCTGGCCGAGCAGCAGCAGCGGCCGGCTCTGCGGGTCCGCATCCCCGGCGCTCGCTTGGAACTGCAGCCCCACGCTCGCCATCTTCGCCGGCCCGCGCGCCCCACCCTGCCCGGCCGCCGCTCCCGCTCCGAACGGGCTCCCGCTCCAGCCCGGCCTCGGCGCCGCCCCGGCCCTGCCCGGCCGTCCGGCCCCGCCTCCCCCGCCGCTGCGGGCCGCTCGCGAGACGTGCTGGGCCCGCCCGGGGCGCGAGGGGGCGAGAGGGGGCGGAGGGCAGGCCCGGGCCGGGCTCTGGAGCAGGCCCCGAACTCCGTGCAGGCCCCAAACACCTGGCCCCGAGCTCCAGGCGGGCAGGCAGCGACCCACAGGCCTCTATCCGAGTAGGCCCCAAACCCGGGCAGGCCCCCAAGTAGGTCCTGCCCTCAAAAGGAGGAAGCGCAGCTCTCCAGACAGCCCTCTGGCAGAGGGCCCTGGCCCGCAGCCCCAGCAGGCAGCCAGCAGACCCCGGTGGCCTTGACCTCAGGCTGGGCCTGAGTAGACTCAGGCTCAACCTCAAGTCCACCGCAGCAGTTCCCACCGGTCTGGAGTGTACATGAACCCTAAGCAGGCCCAGCCCCAGTGAGGCAGGCCTGCAGGGCCCTCTGAGCACCCAGTGGGGGTTTTGGGGGACCCCACACTGGTAGGCCTGCCCTTACACCTGCCCAGGAGTCAGGTTTGGCTGGGAATCCTGCTCTTTGGACCCGTGCCAGCTCCGCGTTGTATCGGGCCCCCAGTGGCTAGCACGCTGGGCACCGCCCAGTCTCCCTCCTCACTTATTGGGCCTCTCTGTGTCGCTAGGACCCTTGCTATTTGCCAGGCACCGTCCTGGATGTGACAGGGGGGGCAGAGAGGAGGGCTGCTGCCCAGGTTGCAGTCTCTGAGTTGGCCAGTTACAATAAATCCGGGCATTGCCTTGTTGAGTGGAGGACCCTCCTTTGGCAAGACCCTCACCCGGCGAGAGTCTGGGTGAGCTGCAGCCTCCCCTCGGCTTTGGGAGAGAGGACAGGACGGAAGAAAGGGGGAGTCGGTGGGTGACTCACAAGAGCACCCGAGTCACCTGTCACTGAAGAGGGGGCCCTGGGAGGGTGTTGGGGGCACCTGGTGGTTGGGGGGTGTGCCATTGGTGAGGGTCCTGGTTCCTGCTGTGGCTCAGATGCAAGGTCCAGGGACAGATGACCCACTGGTGGAAGTGGTACTCAAGAGTCATGTAAAAATAAAAGTGCTACCCTATCCCGCCCACGGCTGGATATTCAAAGGCCTCTGGTTGGCACCCCTCTGTCACCCCCAGCTCCTTCCAAGTACCACTCCTCTTACTGAGTTTCCTCTTCACCGTCAACCTTCAAGGCAGCTGAGCCCGCTCCCCAGTGTGCACGAGGCTCCCAGCCCCTCTCCGGGCTCAGCACCTCCCTCCCTGACTCTGAACCCAGCCACGAGCCACGCCTGCACCTCCCCTGCCACCTGCCCTGACTCTCCCACAGCTTCTGAGCCGTGGTCCTCGGGAACCTCCCACTGGACCGGGAGCCCCAGCCTCCGCGGGCGGGCCGTTTGGTCTTCCTTCTGCGGGGCCCGGCGCAGAGCGGGCACCCAGAACACAGCTGCGGAACGAGTGTGACGGGCTTCTTCGACCCCCCAGCTTTCCCCACATAAAAGTCCGTGCTAATTGGGTCTTATTTTCTTCAAAAGATTTTACAGCAGCTGAATGTTTTCACACATTTGCATGGGGTACGACAAGCACGCACGGAGATCTATCGCTCTGTTCTTCTGTTTGCAAACACACCGCAGACGAGCGCAGGGCGTTCTGGCGGGGGGCGAGGCTGCGGGGGACGGTCCTAGAGGGCCAGGGAGGTAAGCGGGGCCGGGGGGATGAAATGGGCCCACACAGGCGAACAGGACGGGGGCGGGGCCGGGGGGGCATCCAGGTGGGGAGCGGCCTGGCAGGAGGGCGCAGACCCACACTGTCCTCGGGGCTCGGTGTGAGAGCAGGAGGCGCGGGTGGCGGTGGTGGGCCGGGGCGTCTGACTCATCGCATCGACTTTTGCAGGCCATGGCCGGATCCAAGAGGCGCTTCAGAGAGCCAGACCCGGCCGTTCTGTGTACAGGGAGTTGGAGGGGGGAAGGAACTGTCGGTGTCGAGATGATTTTGGAGGCTCTTCCCTTGTAGATGGCCCCAGGACAGGATGGATGCGATGATTCAGTCCAACCACGCTTATTGAACCTCCCTCCACAGAAAGCCAGGGAAAAAAGAAAACAACACAGATGCTTGTTATAAGCAGATATTACTGATTCTGGTTTTAAGCCACCCCCGAATCCAAGACACCCAGATGAAACAGAACGTTAAGGAAATCTTCCACCTCAGACGTCTCTTCCAGGTGGGCCCGTGGCGGGTGCGCAGTCGCCCGGGACCGGGCCCCTCTCACTGCCCTCCCCAGGCGTTCAGCCCCGTCAGACGGGGGGTGGGGCACTTTGTTGGGGTCCATTTGTAGGAAGCTGTTCATCTGCAGGGTAGTGTATATTTCACCACCCATGAAAAGCTCACCTCCATTAAACTTCCTTTAAACAATGAAGACATGAAATCACTCACCAGATCTTGAAGGCGCCCCAAGAAGAAACGTAATGCTTTGGGGGACTGGAGGCCCCTTCCGAGCTCACCTGGGTGTTCCGGCCTAATCTAGGGGTTGGGGAACAGACTGAAAAACTTCTGGGAGAAGTCAGAATAAAGGTCCCAGGACTTACGTGGAAGTCGTGGGGTACAGTCCACATTCTGGACACACCCCTGATACCCCAGCACGGGAGATGGCTGTGGGGCGTTCGTTGCGTTCCGGAGTGCACCCCGCCAGGCGCCCCGACACCCGCCCGGCCCCAGCCCGCTGCCTCGATGCGCACGATCCCACCGCGGCCCGGACGAGGGGACACCGGCCCCCCCTCCGGGAGTGCTCATTTCAACTTCCCGGTGTTTCTTTTGTTTGTTCAACATCTATTTCCTGACTGTCAGCCCGGGGAAGCTCCAGGCCGGGTCAGGCCTCCCTGCCCCCCCTTTCCCCAGGGCCGGCTGCGTCATCTGCGGGGCTCGGCGCAAAGATGAAGGCGTAGAACCTGTCCTCTGGAAAAGGAGGTCAAGATGGAGACGCACTGAACTCTCAACACGGAGCCCCGAGTGGCTGCGTGCCCAGCAGGCCCCCCTGCCCCCCGTTACATGTTCACGTGCCTCTCAGGACCGCCCCTGCCAGGGTCCCCACCGAGGCCACCGAGTCCCATCGGCCAGCTCCTGCCTCTGCCACACGTTCCTGTCCGTCCATGAGTGCTCCTGTCCTGTCCGGGGCAGTGAGACGGCCCCCAGACGCACGCTGGTCCCTCCTCGCCCACAACCCAGCGCCAGCCACTCCTTCAAGAAGCCTGTGTCCTGTGAGCGGGGGAACGGGGTTCGAGACACCCAGGCCCACGTGTGGGGGCCCCACTGCTCCCACACCCACTGCCTCTGGCCCTCCCGGAGGATGGGGTACGAGTTGTTTACCTAACCCCAGAGGCCAAAGGGATTCCTCCAACCCAAACCCCACACCGCTGGCCCCTTCGGCACCTGCCGCCACCCTCGTCTGGGTCTGCGTCTGCGTCTGCCTCTCCCGCGGGGGAAGCCCCGGCCCCCAGTCACCCTCCTAGGACACTCTCTCGTCCGCCCCTGCCATGCTCACCAAACAGCCCCCACTCCCGACCGCAAACCCACTGCATCGAGTTCATGATGTCTTAACAGTGTTTCCTTTTTCTGTGCTTAGAATGTGTCCCACTGGTGTGTCAAAGTTTATTGGTTTTCGTGCGCTGCGTCTCGCCGGGACACATCCGACTGCTGTGCTCCTGCCTGCACTCGGCGTCGGGCGGGCCGTCTCCCGTCTCCCGAGCCCATCCCTGTTTTGAATGCACGCGAAGGTGCTGTGGTCCACGCGGCGAAGGGGGAGGAGGCGCCAAGGGGCCGCCTCTGCCTCCCGCCCCCTTTCTGCTCCTCCTTCGGCAGGGAAACACTTTTATTAGTTTCGGGGTTCTCTCTCCTGTTTTCTGTTGGGTGGAAAGGGCAGCATCCCGTGTATTCGTGCCTCTGACACAAAAGACGGCGTGTCGCACGCCACCCTTTGCGGTCTGCTGTAAAAAGGCACATCTGGTGACGCCGTGTAGAACTTGGTGTTCTGTGGTGCCCTGGTGTTCTGACTGCAGGGGAAGGGGAGCAGGTGCTAGGAAAAACGTATAGCGGGGGAAGGGGGAAGGGTTTGCAGGGACAGGTATAAAGGACACACGGACAGTAACAAGGGGGTGGAGATGGGAGGGAGGGAGGGGGAGGGCTGGAGAAGGGTGCAGGGAAAAGGCAGAAAACTGTACTTGAACGACAATAAAAGACGTTAAAAAATATAATAAAATAAATTTAAAAAAAGAAAGATGTGATCAGGGAGCTGTTTCCTAATGACGAAAAGCACTCCTTCCACCGTCGGTGTGGAGGGCTTCTCCATCACGCGAGGGGCTGAGCCAGCGGCCCCGGAGGCCCCCCGCCACTCACGCTAAGGGGCCTCGATTGCTCCCCCAGGGAGGGCAAGGACTCAGGGAGCAGCGACCCCCGTGTCCCGGGGACTGAACTCCTATTTACTGCCCAGCACCGGTAACATTATTTCTGTAGCTGCAGAAGTTTTCAAGGGCACAGGGAAGGCCTGGGGCTGGGGGCACGGCAGGAAGGAGAAGAGAAATAATTAACAGGCCGAATGGCCCCGCATTCCTTGAAACACCCTCAGCATGCGAACAGGGAGCTGTCCGGCAGAGATGAAGGGCAAATGCGCATTTTGATGGAGGAGTCTTTGCTGGAGAAAACTTTCACCGGCAGAGCCCTCGGAGCAGTTCGTGCCTCTGGTGCACTGGCAGTGACTCAGGCCTCAGACACCTGAGTCATATTTTTCCCAGAAACACCCCCGCGCGGAGCGGCCCTCGGTGGTGTCTAAATGGGGATCTTTGAGAAAGTACAAGGGGCCCTGGCAGCCGGGCTCTGAGAGGAGGGGGCGGGGGGGCGGAGGAACCACGAACCGGAACGGTTAGTTTTTCTCAAGGGCCGTGAGAGGGAACTGTAACGTGTATTTACATGTACAGGGTCCACAAGTAAGGCCTGCCTGCACGAGGCTGGGGGGGGACGTGAATGAATCTCACGAGACAGACGGCAATGGGAACATTTCACCCAAAATGTCAGAGGGTGAGCTTGCGTGCGATGTTGTCAGGTTACAGAATTACATGCTCATGGTTTTGTAATGAAACAGAGTTTGTAATGGAAGAGGGGCATTACTTGTGCCGGACCCGGTATAATGATACACGTATATTTCTTCTGCAGTAAATCTAGAAGGTTCCGTATTTCCGGCTGGTTCATGGCTCCGGCTGCAAAGCCCCGAGATGGGGCTTCCTTACTTACATCACAGTGTAGCCAAAACACTACACTGGAACTAAGATCATGGACCCCCTCGCAACGGTTTATAGAACTGGAGGGGCGTTACAACCCGTTACCGCAGAGTACAAAGAGCACTCCAATCGGGTTCGCGGGTCTCCTAAGATCCTCATAAATCGGGCGATGCTTACACAGTGCCTACGAGAACCGTAAGAAGACATTCCGAAGCCTTTCTCCCAACACACCGGGCGCGCAGGGAGTGAGCGCCGTGCAGCGCTGTCTCTGAGGTGCGGCCGGCCGTGCTGCGAGCTGGGCAGCACGCGAGGCCTCGCGCGTACACCACGAGTCCCGTTTTCTTTTCTCCTCTTTGAATGAGAAGCCACTTCCCCTGCCCCAGTCCTCTTGGGGGTCACGGAAAAGGGAGGAGGGGAGAGCAGTGGGAACCAGCGCACCCCCAGCAGCACTGGCCGAACCTTTTCCATCTGAACACACACACGCGCACACACACACACACACACACACACACACGCACACACACGCGCACATGCGCGAACTAGTGACTAAAACGCTGCGGCACATCAAAACATAGATTTTTTGGCTGATCTGACCCCCCGAGCCAAACCGGGCATAATTTTTGATTCCTTTCACACTGGACATCTATTGGGTGGGCTCTTGTCATTTTTTATTTGACCGTCTAAGGGAAAAGAGGGCAGTTCCCCTGACTCAACAGTCAGCACTGCGCCTGGTAGAAACGTGCGTGGCGTGCCGGCTGGAAACCGCTCGGGCCACAGAACTCGGAGGGGACGGCGTGGCAGGGACGGCAGCCAGCTCGGGGACTCGCCAGGTCTGGGCTCTCGGTCTGCCGGTGGGCCCGCCCCGTGGCTGGGGACCCCCGCAGCCGTGGCTACGTAAAACACACGGCGCGCAGCCTGCGAGCGGCACGGTGGCGGTGCTGAGGTCCTGCGTGCATTTAATTATTAGCGTGAACTGAAGGTACTGTCACTGTTTAACTCAGCCGACCTTTTAAATGGATAACCGACCTTGAGGCTTAATTGGATTTCAAAAAAAAAAAAAAATCAATTTCTAGTCATTGCACAGCGTGGGAGCGAAGTGCCACACTCTCAGGCGACTGCAGGGTCGGTTCTGCCCGAGACCACATCTGTGTTTTGTTTACGAGGCTCAAACGCCACGACCGTCCCCGTGGGTGCGGGACACACACGCGGGCCTTTCTCAAACAAGCGCCCGTGCCCACGTCTGCGCCCCGGGGCCCGGCACAAAGGAGCCGCCGCTGCCCGCCCGGTGGGAGGCTGAGTCACCGGCAGCCGCGGCTTTGTGCCGATCACACGGAACGCCGGGCCGGGGAGAGTGACACATCCCTGCCTGCGCGTCTCCCCGGGCCGCGGGCGGCGCTCGCCTTTGTACCGGGAAGAAAATCCTTGAGGAAGCTTTTACCAAATCACATCTTGACCATTAAATCTTTCTCGGAGAAGGTCATATAATTGCATGCAAAGAAATGAACAATTAAAATGACAAAAGCGGTGCTGGTCTGGAAACGAGGAGGAGGGAGGGCGCCAGGCCCCACCGGGGGTCGCTCCGGCCCCCCATCTGGGAGGAGGGGAGGTCTGGGGGCATGCTCTCCGGAGTGGATGCCGGGGAGCCCCGAGTCAGACCACCGCGTTAAAGAAACACCTCCCCCCACCCCTCCTCTTCCTCTGAGGAGAGGCCGGGCGAGGCGAACCAGGACCCTCTTGCCTCCGTCACGACCTGTTTTTGTGAAATGAGAGCGACGGTGGTCGCTCATGGCAGCATCTGGATGGTTAGCTAAAAGCAACTGGAGAGCAACAGTTGACAAGCAGAAAATGCTAAACCCAGGGGTCTGTTCTAACTAACCCCGGTGCCATGGACGCTGGGGGGAATGGACCCTCCTTGAAACGGCCCCTCTGACCCCGATGGGCTCACGTGCAGGCCCACGCAACCCCCCCCCCCCACTGGAGACAATCCAGGGAGCTCGCGAGGACGTGTGGACAGATGGTTGCACTCTTTCCTCAGTTGGCCAGGTAATTGTGACTACGGCATGGCCCTCTGTGTTGTCAGAAGACCGACTTGGCCGCAGACTGGCTGAATGGTGTCAAGGGCGGTGTGGGGTGGGGGACGGGACAGACAGGACAGGCAGGACGCACAGGACACACGGCTGCCGCACACCGACTTCCAGTCCTGACTCTGAGCTGCTTTCCGACGAGCTGGGCGTCTCCCTGCGCAACCGCCGGGAGCCCTGGCCGGGCTTGCTCTAATACCCGTCACGACGAAGGGGGTTGTTCTGCACTCAATTTCGAACAAAACTAAACAGCAGCAGCAGGCAACACGGTGAGAGGGGCATCTGGGCGGCGAAGGCAACTTGGGGAGAGAAGAATTAGCTTTTCAGGGGTCTAGCACCCAGGAATCCACTCTGCGAGGCCCACAGTTCCCGGGACACGTAGTGTTGAGTTCCCAAGAGCAGCTGCCGCCACATGACCCAGGTCTGCTGGACGGAATCTTGGGAGAAATGGAAACTCCGTCACTGCAGCGGCACTGCGAACCCAGTCCCATCCCCCCACACGGAAGAACCTTGGAGGGTGTTCACAGCCGTCGGCAGGGTGAACCTGCACCCAGGCTGCCCCCCAGCCGCCACGGTGTGCAGAAAGACCCCCCCGTAAACACCCACACTTCCGGGCGCGCCCGAGGGCCGGGCCGGAGCCCTCCAGCTCTCTGCTCAGCGGGCAGCGTGTCCGGTCCTGCCTGCGGCGCCCCTTCAAGAGCAGGCCACCGGACACGGGTGGGGAAAGCCTGAGGAGCTGCCGCACGGGAAGCACCTCCCCGGCCGCCCCCGGAACCGCTGCAGAAGAGCAGGATGCAGCTCTTCAACGCTGCCACTGATCTAGAATGTTCTTGAGGCCTAGGGGACGGACGCGTCCGCCCTGTGAGTCGACGTGACTCCCGGACAGGGCCAGTGGCTGCCGAGCAGCCGGGGGACGTGAGGTCCGGCCGGACACCAGGGCAGAGTGCGGTGCGACGCGGGCGCGCCCGTGCGGGGCCCTGGACGGGCGCGCGAGGTAGGAGGGACGCGGACCCCGGCAGCACGACGGGGCCCCATGCCCAGCTCGCTGAGGCAACTCCCCCGGGGGACTCGGGAGTTTAACTGAAAAGACAGGCGCTGTGGCACCGTGACGGCGTCTCCCGTCGGGCACACACGTGTGACGAAGAGCCACCCTGGCCTCGGAGGAGGGGATGCAGACGTCTGGGCGGAAACAGCGCCGTGGCTCTGAGCTCAACTGGCGAACACTGCCCCTGAAGTGTCCGGGCAGCAAGGGTGGGACGGCCGAGGCCTCTGGAAGTTCAAGCCCCCCGGAGCCGGGGTGTGAGGGCTACCTCTCTAGAGGGTGCAGACACCGACTGTTCTGGACCCTCCCCAAGTGGTGCTCGGTATGTACGTGAAGCACAGATTTTCGCGAGGAAATAAAGATCTGCCCCTTTGTCTCCTGGACAGCAAAGACGCTGGCCCTTGGACAGTGTCCTCCAGACAGGCAGACGGACCTTCAGAGGGAGGCCAGGGCCTCATGCACGACACAGGGGCCCAGGTGCCCCCCCCCCCAGGACCCAGAGGCCTCTGAGGACAACACCAACCCCGCGGCTACAATTAACGCGAGGACTGCGGGGTGCTGTTCCATCTCCACCGCTGCTTTATTGTACAAAAGTTTCCAGTAACAGGAAATCAGTTTTGAAAAAGGACAAAACAGGCGTGTTGGACAGAAGCGCTTCACTAATTGCCTTATTTAAGCACGCCAGGAAAACGTCTTCTCTGACCGACTCGGCTGGGAGGGTTCCGCTGCCGTCACGAAGCCACTAGCCGGGACAGGACACTGAAGCACGCAAACGAAGCGCCCAGCGAGCAGAGCGTGGCCAATCCACTGGACACCGACCAGGCTCCGCGCCCATGGCAAGGCCACCCCCGGCCCCACCCCATGAGTAAAACCGGAGACGGTGGGCCCCAGCCACGATCTGGGGGAGGGCAGGGGCTCTGGGGACCTGAGGACATGCACCCGTCCAGGTCCCCTCTCACCAGGCGGACAGGCCAGGGACTCGGAGCGGCAGGGCCCCCGCTGCCCCTTGTCTCTGGGCGAAGCCCGGGGGGCCGGGGGAGCCTGACAGAGCCACCACTCCGGCCAGGGCCTTCCCGCGGACAGCAGCTGCGGCAGGGCCAGGAGCCGTCCCCTTTGTGGGGACGGAGTGGCCCTGCGGTTCCAGGACACCATGACCGCGTCACCCTCGCTGTCCCCAGTGCCGATGTGCCCCCGGTAAAGGCTCGGCAGGGAACTCCCGTGTCTGCAGGAGCCCAGCGGGCCGGCACGCAGGCTCCGGGGCTTTGGCTGGCGCCGCCCTGGTTTCCGTCAGGATGGACGGTCCACCCACCGCAGCGAGAGCCTTAAAGCCACTTCAGATCCGTGATCTATCCCTATGGGCTGGGGGAAAAAAACCAACCCTAGTCGCCTTAGTCACTGAAAATAAATACGAATAAATAGGGGTCCTTTCTTAAAGGGCCACTGTCCCTCAAGGGTCGTGAGGACAGCACTTGTAGAAGCGGTCCAGTGTCAGTGTCACAGGCCGTCCGGGAGGAAGGCCCTGGGTCCCGGCAGTCCCGGCCCAGCAGCGGCAGGGACGCCGGCCCCCGCCGCCGGGGTCGGGCCGGCCGGGACGAGCGAGGGCGCCCGCAGCCCCTCCCAGCACCCGCGGAAGCCCCGCGGCCCGAGGACGACCGCGGCGAGGCTGGCTTCCCGGTCCCTGACTTCTCTTCCCCACAACTGTGCGCCGGCAACGTGACGCCACTTCCTACCATGCCAGGGGCACCTGCGGTCACCCTACGGACGGCCACATCGGTCGTGAGACCGGGGGCTCCCTGGTGCCGGCACCAACTTGGAAAGGGAGGGCTGGGGCCACTTGAGTCAAGTTTAAATTCCCAGAAACGACTCCCAAGTCGAATTCCAGAGCAGCATTGTGGGGGACTGGTCCGGATGAAAGGTAACACGCAGAGGTGAACACCACGGAGAAGCCGTCAAGAGAGAGACAAGGGCACACAGCACACGAACGGCTTCCCTTGCCCAAGTCGCCCCCGCCCCCGCGCGCCCCCGCGCGCCCCCGCGCGCGCGCAATTCCAGGAGGCACCGGAGCAGCCCGGCGGCCACGGGCACAGGGCACAGACGCGCTCGGGAGCCTCGCCGCTCTGGCGGCGGCAGGAAGACGCCTCCCCTCCGGGCATGGGCAGCGGCAACGGGGGAGCCCGTGACGCACACCCCCCGGGGAGCACCCGACTTTGAACTGGCGTGACGCGGGGTTAATGACTGAGCCCCGAAGCGGGGCCCCTCTGGAGTGGCCGCTGTGTGAACTCACAGCCCGCTCAGCGGCGGCCGGTCTGAACCGGTCGTTAGGTGGGCAGCGTGCGCGCGACAGACGGAGCGAGGACGGCTGGGGACGCGCACGCCGGCGCTGGCGACGTTCCGGCCCCGCCCCGCTCCCTCGCCGCGGGAGGCCGGTCCCCGCGCCGGCCCTGGGCGCGGGCGAGTGCGCCCGGCCGCCCTCGGGGCTTGCAGCGGCCGCGCGGCGCGGGCGTTTCCCACGAGGGCTGCTCCATTCACAATTAATTTAAACTCACGGAGCTGCTTTCACCGGCCCGTCTGAATGTGTTAATTAACATCGATGATGGCTTCTCATTTTTCACACTTTGTTACTCTGATCGTTAACAGTGATGGAAAAGCGAACCTAAGGTAACGGGGGTCGGGCTGTAAATTCGTAGAGGACTTCTCCGTTTGTTTTCAACTGGGAAACAAGCAGAGAAAGACGAAGAGGCATTTTGCCTCTACCCGTAAACTTCTGGTGCCAGTCCTTAAAAACCACATGGTTTTCAAACATCTTTCCCCCCAAGATTACTTTAGCTCGGACGGACAGCACACACAACGATACCGCACAGCCGCGGAGTGGCGCCGCCCACGTCCCGCTCCTCTTCTCGGGCTGCGGGCGACAGGGCTCCCTCGGCGGCCGGCGGCAGCGCCAAGGTCCTCCCATCGCCGCCAGAGCAGGAAGCCGAGGCCGCCCCCCGCTGGAGCGCCGTCCAGGAGTCCATGTGACGGCCCGGCGGCCCCCCTCCACGGGCGGCGGCGCTGCCCAGCTCGGCCCGAGCGCCCGATCCGCGCGGCACACGGACCCGGCCGCTCAGCGAGACTTCACGCCGACGAGGACGACGATGAGGACGATAATGAGGACAAATAGTATTAAAATCACAAGCATCTTCCGATTCTTCTTTTGATACTGCTCTGCCTACAGAAAGAGGAGGAGGGAAAGGCGGTTATTTTCCCCAAAGCCAAGTGCCCCCCGTTTCCCGCCCTAGGCTTCCTTCGGGTCCCTCCGTGCAGCCGACACCTTGGCTACCGGCTCCCTCACTGCTCGCCCCCACCGGCCCGCGCGCACGCGGCCGGCACCGGCCGGCACCAAGGAGAGCCCCGACCTGCTGCCACTGCGCCCGCAGGAGCGCGACGGCCTCCGGGGGGCACTGACCCGGGGCTGGGACCTGCCGCCCATGTGCGGGCTGGGCCGGAGAGGCCGCTGCCGGCGGGAGGCGACTCCCGAGGCTCCGTCAGCCTTGGACCAGCGGTCCGCCAAGGGGCCGGGCGCCGTCCCCGACAGCAGGGCGCCGTGCGCGAGGAGACGAGCCTGCTTCCCTTCCCGGGAAGTGCCCGGACACCGGGGAGGCCCACGCTGAACACGTGCTTCAGCCTCTCCAAACGATTTACAAAGGAGGACCCCACACAAAGTTCTAGTTCCCCCGAGGTCTGCATGCTCCCGCGGACGAGCTTTTCCCCTCCTCTGCGTTCTGTTACAAAACACGCGCCGGCCGACTTGAAGAAACTCCACGACCGACACATACTCGGTCGCACGGCAGACCCAAGCCTGGGCGTCGGAGAGCGAGAAGCTCAAGGCAGGCTCGCTCCTGCACCGGCCGGTGTGGCCGCCGAACGCCCCCGGACGCTTCCGCAGCCCGAGGCCCACACGAGGCCGCTCCTTCCTCGTCCCAGGCTGGACCGGGACGCCCCACCGCAGCGACACACCCCGAGAACCTGGGGTTCCGGGCAGACCCGTGCGGGCCTCGCCTGTGCGCCTGGGGCCGCTAGGGGAGGGCCCTCTCCGCTGGGGACGGGGACCGGCTCTGGACGAACGATGGGGCGGTTCGTGAGGGACCCGGACGACCGCTCGGGATGTGGCAGACACGCCAGCGGGCGCCAAAGACACAGGAGGTGCACGGGGTTTGTGTCATCTGTGAGGCGCTCCAGGGCTTTTAAAGTAAACAGGGACCAACGACGCGCAGGAGCCCCTCGGCAGTGTACGGGTGGGTGTGTTTCTCACACGCGGTCCCAAGAGCTAAGATGCTTCCCATTTATTTCTAACAAATATCATGAAAAATAGTCCCCAAATAGCCACCTTATTAGCAAAGAACAAGAGAGCTAATGATACTCTCACTTCAACAAACCACTCTCTTGTGGGGGTGCGCGCACAGACGCACTGCGGTGATTAAAAGGGCAAGTCAGGCTTCTCTCCTCCGCAGGGTGCCGCTCCCGCGGCGGCTCACTCACCGGGAACGCGCCACCGCACGGGACGCCACGTCGGCCTCCGCGTGCAGCCGGGACGCGCAGCGCGTTCCAGCGAGAGCTCCTCAACCGCCTTCCTAGGCCAGGAGGACTCGAAGGGTGAAATGTTTTCTGAAAGCAGGGAACCCCCGTTCTTCTAGAATTCACTGTCACGGAAGGGAGCTCGCAGCAATTTCAGATCTAAGTGCGAGGTGCCCCTGCAAACACCAGTGACAGCGAAGTGGCAGCGGGCCCCGCTGCCCGCTGGTACGCTCTGGTGCTGAGCCCTGGAGGCGGCCATGGTGGAAAAAACACCGCCCCCCGCAAAATTCTTGGCATTGGGTAACACCCCCCCAGGTTCTCAGCTGCCCAAAGACAGGGTGCTACCTTGTGAAGCTCCTTCAGGCCGTCCTCAGTTCTGATACAGGACTGTTCGACGTTATAATCGATTCTGTCGAGGACTGTGCCCTGGCAAGAAATGACAGTGACAGGCAGTCAGCAACCACATGGGGGGAAAGTGGCCGCAGAAACACACGTCACCAGGCCCGGGGGTGCCTGCGCACTCGGCCGCGCTGCCCAGCCCGCTGGGAGCTCAGGGCCCACCAGCCAGCGGTGTCAGGCCGCAGGGCAGAGGGCGGTGTCGGCCGCAGTGAAGTCTAGCTCAGGAGCAAGAAAGACCGACAAGGTGAAGTTTCTGGTCTGGACTTCATCGCCATAGGAGGTGCCACATTCGGGCTTCCTGGTGCTTTAGAAAATGCACGGTTTGGTGGAAACCGGCCTCGAGCAGCCAAGGGCGAGCTCCGGGGACCGCCTGCTGCTCAGGGCTGAGCGGGCTGAGGACTCCAGGGTCACCAGACCCGGCACGGCCAGGCCTGGAAACGGACGGCCGTGTCTGTGGACGTCAGCACCGGCTGTCACGGGTCGGAGCAAGGACGGTGCGCTCCCACCCACCCTGCGCCCCCTCACACCTGCCTCGAGGAGACCTCCATCCGCAACTGTTTAGTGCCTTGGTTCGGACAGAGCGCAGGGCACACTGGGGCGCAGGGCACACTGGGCCGCACGGCAGCGTGGGGCTCTCAACGGACGCACGCCGCCTCAGAAGGGAGAGCGGGTGGCGCCCTAGGAGCCGCGGCGGTAATTAACGTAACCAGATCATCTGCAGCCCCGACCCTCCACTCTCCGCTGGTCTGATGGGGATCAGCACCCAGATCCCCACCGGCAAGATAATAAAATACCCTAATCAGATTATAGCAGCGAACAAACAATTTAATTCCACTTGAAAGCTAGTGGTTCCAGTTGCTGTCACGCGGTGACCTGCCAAAATTAGAAGAGAGGCCTTATCTGTTGCCAGAGTCACTGCTGAGCGGGGGCAGAGCTGCCCGGGCCCCCAAGGTGGGCGGGGTGCGCTCGCACCAGCACCCCGGGGCAGAGAACAGGAGCACGTCTGCCGTCTGTCTGCTGGTTTGTCTGAAAACAGGTTTACTGTCTTTTTCCATCAAGAGAACAGAAGCGGGACATGTATATACTTTGTGTGTGCGTACATGTGTGTATGCGTGTGCACACTCACGCACATACACACACACCGGGGGCAGGTGCAAGGTCTTTTCCTGACAGGAGTGCACAGCGCAAAGAGCCTGGATAGAGAAGGACCCGCTTTCACGGCGGGAGGACCCCGACCAGGAAGGGGTGAACTCGCACACCTGCTCCACAATCATGGCTCCCAAGTCCCGGAATATCTCGTTCAGGTCAGAAATCGACTGCACGATCTGGCGGATCTCCCGCTCCCTCTCCTCCACCATCAGCGTGTTCTGCTCCACCAGCACCAGCTGCTCGTCTGTGAAACCCTGGCCGGACAAGAGCACGGGATCTTTATGTCAGACTTCTCCCCCGCGAGGATGCCACGGTGTACCATTTTAGACGTGATCGAAAGAAAATGATTTCTGGAAACTGTTCTGCAGAGCACAGAAAAAACATAAAAGCACTTCTTTTTCGCTAACAGGAACGAGCCAAAGCCCCAGAGCATGCGGGACCGAGGGCAGGACTGGCTGAGGTGCGGCGCAGGGCGAGGACCCCCGGCTCGCAGCCACGCAGGTCGGGCGGCCAGACCAGCAGGGAGAACCCCGAGCACCTGCCCCCGGGTTCTGGAGGGCGATCCCGGGGTCTCCCCGGAGGCTTTGGGAAGGAGGGAGGCTGAGCTTCAGCCCGCGGTGAAACTTCCGGTGGGCCCGCAAGTCCCACACCGTGGGCCCACCCGCCTCGCACACAGATCACAGGTGAACGAGGAGCGAAAGCAGGACGCAGCCCCCCACGCACCCGGTCATAGAGAGTGTGGTCCTCGCCATCGTCCATGAGCGGTACTGACGTGTCGAAGAAATGCTGGGACCGCTCCTCTCGGTTCTTCATGCCTAGCAGAGAGGAGTTCCCTTTACTCCACGGTGCAAGCCGTGCACACCGTCCCCGGGTGGACTGCGCCACCCGCAAAAAGGGGAATCCAGATGGAAACTCAACAGTCAACACGGAGACACCCTCAGCGGCTTCAGATGTGGGCGTGGGCAGGAAAAGGCCGTAAACACGGCACCAGGCAGGCGCTCTGGGGCAGTCCTGGCACACGACACGTTAACGTGCGCAACTGGGCGCTGAGTGAGGGACAGAACGATCTCACCGGGGCGTGTCCACGTGAGGCAGAATCTTTGCTCTAACTACGGTTACAAAACACTGCTTAAAAAATCAGTATTTTTCTCTAGAAGCATCTCTAGTGCAAATTTCACATGGATCTAAACCAAATTTTAGAAGTAATAACATTAAAACACAAGCCTGCAGTTGTCAGACAGGGGAAGGACTAGTGTTCAGAGCATGTGGGGAGTCACCGGTTCTAACGGTGGTACAGGAGAAACAGTTTGTGGGGTACCCAGGGGAACGCAGCTGCACTGGCTGTGTTCTTTGGAATCCAGAGCCCACCCCCAGCCCTTGAGCCCCCAGGCTCAGAGGAAGTGTGGGACCCCCCCCAGAAAGGTTTCCGGGCACTCTCAGCTACTGGGGTTGCTATGGAAATACGGAGCTTTAGTGTGATTGTGACTGGTTTCACCTATTAATTAGCAGCCCCCCATTCCAACACCTAGAGAGCTACCGGTCGTTCCATGGGCTAGGCTGAGGTCAAGCTCTTCAGGCCTGACATGGAGGCCAGACTCACGTTTCAGGTAGCCGGCCTGCGCGTGCCGGAAGCCGCTGGAGAGCTCCTGCAGCACCTGCGCCAGCGAGGCCACCACGTTGCGCAGCAGCCGCTCCTCCTGCTCCGAGCAGGTCCGGCGCGCCCGGCTGGGCAGAGCCTGCACTGCACGCTGGCACCTGTGGAACAGCTGAGACGGGGCCCCGAGGTTCGTGCCTGTCCCTGGGGGAGCACCCCTGAGCCTGAACGCTGCTCAGGTCGACCTTCGGGGGCAGGGGTGCGCACACGCCCCACGCAGACGCCCACCCTCCCAGGAGGCACGTGTTATGACCCCTACTTTGCAGACGAGGGCCCTGGAGTCGTGCGGAGAGGCGACATAGGCCCCCATCCCACTGCCGAGGGCTGGAGTTCAGCAGGGCAGCAGCGGCGGCCCCCTCCACACCCCCCTCCTCTCCTCCTGAGCCCCCAGGAAGTGCCAACAAACAAAGCATGCAACCACTGCCGTCTGAACTTGAAATTACTCAAATTTAACATTTTACAAGAGATTTTTTCCTAGGCTACTAATATACTCAGTCTAGGGCAGAAACTCCCCGTCTCCGATTACGAGGACCACTTTTAACACGAATGTCTCCGCACTGATACCCAGCTGAAGTCACACACATTTTTAAGTCAGATGACTGAACTCGGCAATGCTCTGGGTTTATTTTTTAAAACCAACCCTCAGCAGTAGCTTCAACAACGGAGACCAGTCCTCTCCGCCCCAGGACGCGGGCTCCTTCGCTCGCACGCGGAGAGCCCAGCGCCTCTGCAGGTCCCCTCCCGAACCCCCGAGGGCCGGGCGTCCACCCCCCAGCGCTCACCTGCGTGACCTCCTGGGTGGCGATCTCGATGGCGTGCTCCTGCGCGCTGCTGTCGTCCAGGGTGGGTCTGTTCAGGTGCTGGTCGTGCAGGCTGGCCAGCTCCTTCATCTTCTGTCTGATCCGGCTGACGTCGTACTGGATCTGGGCACACGAGAGCACCAGGGCTCCGTCGGCGCGCGCCAGGGACCTGCCCCCTCGGAGACAGCCAGGTGCACCGCCATCCCCGGCTGACCGGGAGGGAGGCTGCCGAGCGCACGAGCAACTCTCCACTCAGAGAGCCAGCAGTGCAAACACCACCCCCGCACGTCCTACAGCTCTTCAGTGTCGGCCCGCAGTCCGGGCGGTCGCTGCGAGCCAGGATCACCGGCACGCAGCCCACCTTTCCGGTGCCGTGCACACGCGGCTCGCCGAAAGCTGAAGCTCTGCCAGGACGTGCATTCAGGCGTAGCCAGAGCCGCTTTTTATGGCAACTATCTAAAATAGGTTAGGGTCACAATCACGTGCGTAAGACAGTGTGAAACTAACATTCCACTTACTTCGTCCACTCCATCCACCCATTTCGGAGGTGACCGTTTTGTGACGCCGATCGCTGCTTCTGGGTCTAAGCTAAGGCCCGACACCAGGGCCATACGGTCGTCAGCGAGCTACCGGGAAATAAAGGAACATTACAAGAATTACTCAGACTCGGTTGAGCTAAGCACACGCTCCCTCCCTGCTGAGCGTCTCTCCCCAAGAAGATACGGAAACAGGGGACACCTGCCCGACCAGGCACGTGCTTTGAGACCGCTAACGCCGGAACTGCGTTTCTATCTTTTCATGCGCCCGGTTCCCAGTGTTCGCGGGTACACTTGTGAACGGGAATTTGACGCGATCTGCCTACAGAAATGTAATACACAAGTCAACAAAAGTGCCTTAAAAGAAAAACTTCTAGTGGTCGACAATTAATGCGATCAGACACAAGGTAGAGAAAGCATGCCTGGCTGGGCCGTGGAGCGGGCACGGGGGCCACAGTCAGTAACGCTGAGACACCCGTGTGCGGGGAGGGGCGGGGCCGCGTCGGAGGGACCACCGTGCGGAAAGGACGTGACTGTGCGGCCGCTAACGCTGCACACCTGAAACCGACACAAAACCATCTCAGACGTAAACTGAAATCGGAAATTGCTCCAAGAGGCGGTAAAAGAAAGACGAGGCCGTCAAGGGAGCAAGCACCAAGTTCAACGGCAGCGACGTCTGCTCGCACGCGTCCGGCTTCCTTGGGAAACGGGGCCGAAGCGGTTAACGTGGCCACAGGGTCGTTAGGCACGTGTTCAGGTGTGCGGAGGAAACGCTTAACCAGCTAGCAAATCGTCTACCATTCGGCAAACCCGACCCTTGGCGTCTCCACGCAGCCCCACTCGGTCATTTCCTTTCTCCGGTCAGATGTCCGCAGGCCACACTTTCGCCTCTTTTGGGACGACACCGACAGTCCTCGCTGATCGTACCCTCGGAACACACAGCCTCAGACGCTCCGAAGAAGATAGGGCGACCCCGGCCCCGGGGCTCAGGGCGGTGCTCCCCCGCCGGGAGGCGGCGAGCGGGAGGAAGGGCCCCCGAGGGGCCCTCTGGAGCGTAGGACTCACAGCGCCCGCCCGTTTCCAAAGAGCGGAACGGGGATGGAAACACAACGGGAAACAGCACACACAAGTCCCCTGCGGGCAGCACCGCGCCCGTTTTCCGGCCACACTGCAGACCCGGGCGAAGAACTTCCACTGCCTCTCCCCGCTCCCCCTCCCTCTCCCCTTCCTTCAGCAAACACCGGACTTGTTTGCTTTCCTAACAATAAAGGAACAAGACAGAAATGTTAAATCTGCCGATGAAGGGGGGAAATATCACCTAAGAACACAACGAGATTAAAAGCATCTTTCAAGCACTGAGCCCCGGACTCCGAACAGGGAGCTCACAGCGAAGCCCCTGAAAGCCCCCGGGGCCTCGCCTCGGCTCCGCTGCGCTCCCAGCGGCGCCTGCCCCCGTTTCTCAGAGCGCCCTGTGGCTCCGGGGAGCGCGCTGCAAGCAGAGACCCCTCGGGAGCGGCCAGAATACCCACTGCTGCCCCGGACGGGCTGAGGTGTGATTGGATTCCCGCCCCGAGGGCCCCGCAAGCCCAGCACCCTTTCCGGCCCCAACACAACAAGGTGTGTCAGCCAGCCCGCACGCCCACGGCCCCCTTGTCTGTTTCTGAGAGTTCACTAACAGGAATTTTACATCGCTTCTTGCAACTTCAATCCTTGAAAAAGCTACGTGCGCCAGGAACCCGTGGTTCCAATCTATAAATGAGCAACTTGAAACTCAGTGAAGTAAGTACCTGGCCTGAGGTCACAAAGCTATTAGTGACAGAGTGCAGCCCGGGCTGGTGGACTCCAGAAGCGCCATCGACTCCACCAGCTGCCAATCACCTTGACAGGCCCGTGAAATAGAATTGCAACTTGCTGAGAAAACAAATCAGGACAACAGACCCTCAGATTAAAACTACAACACAAAACAGGCCTCTGATCCCTATCAGGTCCCCACCAGCAGCACCAGAACTCCAGGAAGCCCCCCCCCTCGCAATGCGCGAGCACATAAATGTCAACGAAAAGCAGCCTCTCTGGCTGACGTCTGTGGCCGCAGGGACAAGCCACAGAGCTCATCCCATACGGGGCAGGCGCTGTGTGAGGCGGGGCTGTCCACCCCTCAGGTCCTGCTGCAAAGCCACCAGGAGGTGTGGCTTTGTGGAGCGCACTGGCCGAGGCCCAGGGAGGACGCGCACACCAGCGCCCAGCGGCTGCCCGCTGTATGGCCAGGGCCGGACACAGGGGAGTTGCCCAACTGGGGCCGAACTTGAACTTAAACCTCCAGCTGTTTATACAAAGTCAAACCTAAAATGGCTAAGGTACCCTTCGTGGGTCCCGGCGGTTTACCATCTAACCCACTGCACCTTATCAGTGCAGCCTTCAGTGTCGCATTTCAATAAAGCAATAACAGTGACTGGTTTTATTTGTAGTTTTTAACTCAGGATCTAATTATTACTTTTTACAAATACACATTAAACTAAAAAAGATCTAGAGATGTTCTTTATCTAAATCACATGCACAGCAATTAGTATCAATTTAGCTGAAACAAATGAGGGCTTTTCAATTAATTGCGCGCTGAAGCAGCTTCCACTCTTTCAGGCAGCGCCCGATCCCACACAGCGAGTGTCTCCCCGGCCTCCCAGACGCTCGGGAACCAAAGCCGGGAAACACACGCTCTGATGCGGGTCCCACCCCCGCACGGTGGGGACGGGGACGGGCGCCAGCCCACCTCGCTGGCCCTCTCCTGCCCACACGGCACACTGGGGGCATGCCGGTGGGACAGACCAGCTGCGGCCTTGGGCCTGTGGACTCGTACCGTGCCCCTTCACAGCCGAGTCCGAGGCGACAGCCCCCGTGACGAAGACGCGCGGCCCTACCCGGGAGGAACGTGTCCGTTATCTCACCGGTGCAGATTCGGAACGCGCGTCACAGTTTGTGCTGTTTTTCTTTAAAAAAAAAAAAGACCGTGTTTTGGGATGGAAAAATACAACAGAATATAAACGTCAGTTATTTAAAACTGAAACAAATATGGACATAAAAATATATTTTAAATGTAAAATCACCCTTTCAACTTCAGAAAGCCCACCTGCCACTTAAAAACACGTTTTCTTATCTTTTTAAGATCCAGGACATACCACTTTTCATAGCCATCTCAGTCAATTCTAGACCTTTAAAACGCTGCCCGATTTTTAAATCTCTCTACTTATTCTTGCTGAATTTCAAGTCAGTTCCCTCTGCAGACACATGATATTGGTGATGGAAGCTTTTCTTAAAAGAACTTGTGCTTCTGAAGTTAAAAACATCTTTCCACATGTGTTAAATAGAAACACCTTTTAAATAATAAGTTGTACTGATGAGAATTAAGAATTTAAGAGCTCTCCTCTTTTGGTTGGTAGCTCTGTCCTCCAAGAACTTGGGGGGGCGATCGCCTGACCCCCGAGTTGTCTGACTCAACCTCCCCAGGGCAGCAAAATCCCGCCAAACACTCAAAACAGACGCCCAAGGCTTCCCGCCAGCCCCCCAGGTTACCGCTGCCCTGAGTCCGCCTGCGCCTCCCCCGGCACCCCACTGCTCCAGGCCCCCGGCCTCCCTGCTCCAGAGCCCTGCCTTTGGGGGCTGATTGAGGGGACTGTGAGATCCAGGAAGTGGCGAGGCCTCTGTGGGGATTTAGAAAGTGAGACACACGTCCCCCCATCTTAAAGAAACGAACCGGGCTCCACCTTAACGTTCACCAGCAGCAGGGCTGACACTTCCCGGCTGCCCGAGTGGCAAGGACAGCTGGAAAGTCCAGCAGGGGCGCCGAGGACGGCACACGGCCTGGCCGCGGGCGCCTCCACGCGAGCCGGCCCTGGAGCACGTGCGACGCTGGGGGACCACCAGCCGAACCCCCGGGGCCCACGGACTAGGAGGCTGGAGAACTCCCGGCTCTCGGAGGGAGGGAGCGAGCACGTGGGTGAGAGAGTGAGGGTGTCAGCGCTGTGGTTTTTCTTTAATCTGTGACACTTAAAAGTGTTTACGTTTTTCATTATGAAACAATAAATGTTCAAAATAGACACTTTTTTAAATGCGCAGAAGACGGAGAAATAGAAAAAGCTGACAATCACAGCTCTCACACACACACACGTTGGTGTTTACTAGGTTTTCCTTTCCACCCGACAACTACACACCCCGAACAGCGGCGAGGCGGCGGCCATGAGGCCCGTGTCCCGCGGCGCACTGCGCGTCCCCCGGCTCCACCTTCTCAGCGCCCCCCGCGAACCCGCGGAGGGACACCGGGCCCCGCCGCGCTCCGGGACGTGCTCAAAGCCGCCCTCGGCCTCGCACCCAGCGAGCCCAGCCGCAGCCCCCAGCCCTTGCGGGTCCCCCAGGGACTCCCCCAGGCGGTGTGGTTTGGGGGCTGGACCTCTGCTTCTTGAGATTTTTGAACGTTCCTGTTTAGAATCTTAAAAACCCACCCACCAAAGAGACGACTCTATGGAGACCCAGGAGAAGGCCGGACACGCCTCTGGAGAGACCGCGGAGGCCGCGCTTCCTCCCCAGGGACGCCTGACTCAGCCCTTCTGCAGCGGGGCGAGGGCCCAGCTGGTCTGCACAGAGTGATCACGGATGTGGACTGACCCCAGGGAGCCACCCGATGAGACGGCTTTGCTTGGGGAGGCCCCAGGGACCAGCCCGCAAAGAGGGCTCAGGCCTCCCCGCGAGGGCGGGGCTCGCGCTCCTCCTCCCGGAAGCCCCACTGCAGCCTCCGCGGAGCGAGGCCGGGTACCAGGCCCAGCGCCTGGCGCTCAGCAGCAATAAATGTGCAAGTGTAATCAGCTGGGTGAGTCGACAACAAATGGGCGGGAGGGATGAATGAAGTGAATGAACCCTGCAGGCTGCCCCCTGCAGCCGGCCGCACGGGCGGGCGTGGGGCTAGCACTCGGCGCTGCTTCAGCACGAGGCTGTTCCAGTGCGTGTTCCCTCGCCACGTACCTCCTCTCGGGGGCCACGAGTCCCCTCTCTCCGAGACGTTCAGTAAGGGGTGGTAACATCTGTCCTAAAAGCCTCCTCTCTGTGCCCCAAGCCTCAATGCTTTTGGGGTCCGGTCAGCAAACCCAGCGCGTCGGCCGGCCCCCAGGGGTGCGCAGGCCCACCGCGTGTGGGCGGCACTGCCCCCGCTCTCCCCAGGGCCCTGCAGTGCTGGCGGGGAGGCTCCGTGGTCAGGCGCGGCCACAGCACCTGGCGCGGGGAGCTCCCAGCTGAGGGTCTGTTTTTAAACATTAGCTGTTTCTTAATGATAAAGTACATGCACGTGGTTTAAAAAATACATATCCAACCTAAAGACAAAAGTTGGCAACACAAAGGAAGGTTCTCTTCTATCCCAGACTTTTCCTGGAAGGTATCCACTATTAACAGTTTCTTGTGTCTCTTTTCAGAAAGTTTCTAAGTACTCCCAAGCATAAACGTCAGTTATTTTTCTTAAAAAAAAAAAAAAAGCGGGGGTACCAGGTTGCCCACACCACTCTGCACCAGACCCTCTGGCACGGGGCACAGGTGCTGGGAGCTCCCTGTGCTGCAGCCTCCCACGGGGACCGTGGACCAGGGACCGAGAGGTGGGGATGCTGGGTAACTGAACCAGCTCCCAGTGAAGGACACTCAGGCTGGCTGTCCCCTGTCCCTGTTTACTACCCCAACTCATTAAGGTTTTTAGAACCTACAGGTAGATCCCAATCTAGAAATTAGGAATCCCAGTGGTTTTGAAGACCGTCACCCTAACACCACCTTCACTGCTCATCCTTCGAAAACCAAAATAAACGCGCTCCCCACCCCAGTTACTCTTTCTACAAGGCCTACCCTCGAGGAAAAATAGTTTCCCCTTCATCGCTGAAGCAGGTAACAGAAACACACGGAATCAACAAGCATGGCCCCATCCCCTTTCCCTCGACCCTCTCAGTGGCAGCCACGACGAAGGTCCATGAGATGGAGAGGGGACATCCCCTCTCCATCTTCTGGCAAAGTCGCACAGGAGTCTGGAAAGGCCTGAAGTGTGCTGCTGCCCAGTGGGCAGGAAGGGGTGGCGGAGAGCCCGCCTAGTCGACGCAACAGCAGCAGCAGCAGCAGCAGCAGCAGCAGCGACCGTGGAGACCCTAACAGGTGGTGGCTGTTCCCCCCCTTGTGGCTTTCCCCGGAAGCAGGTCCTCCCACCCCACCTGAGCGAGGCGGCTGCACACACAACCCTAAAAACAACCTGGCTGACCACATTCACGGGCCTGCCCCACCTGTCCTGCTCCCTAAGTTGGCCCCCTTTCCCATGAGCTATGAATTCTCTGAACCACCCATCTACCTGGTGGGAAGGTAGAGCCCATAAATCCCAAGCGTTAAATTGTTAAACACAGCAGTGATAAGCAATCAAAACAAATGTTAAACTATGTGTAAGCTCTGTTAGCATTTTATATATGACCAGAGACTACAGAAAAAAAAGGGGCATAATTTCATGAACTGACACACAAAAATATTCAAAACACAATACCTCATCCAGCTCCTGAAGAGATATGTCGTTCCCACGAGCCCCGTCCAGTTAGGGACAGCAGAGAGAGAGCAGGATGGACAGACAGACACAGACAGACAGGCAGATAAAGTATGGTCAGTTGGGAAAATACTAAGACTTTAAATAACTCTCAAGTTGACTAAAAAATAAAGATCCACTAATCGAGGCATTTAAACAATCTCCCCATGATGATTCTTTATTTTCTTTTTAAAAGCTACATCAGGATGTTTTTTTATTTATGTTTACTGTGATTGTTGTTTTGGAAATGATAGGAAACAAACAGTGCACAGTCGTAAAAATTAAACCACAACAGAAGCAAATAAAACACATTTGCTTCAGTTCCCCTAAAATGCAACGCTCATCTGTTTCATAAATATCAAATATCACATACAATATTCTAAATTCCCCCTAGGAAGAGATAATAGGAGAGCTGAGCTGAAATGTAATTTTACCATGTCAAGTACGTGTATATTTTAACATGTAAACCAGCCCTGCAAACGCAGCGAGATTAGAAAATGAACAACCTACAGAAACTGTCTATGGCTGCATTCAGATAATATGTGAGTGACCGCACATCTGAGGTCTCCGCCAATTCAATCCTGCAGACCCGGCTTCTCCGTGGGTATTATTAATAAGCCAGCCGGGAAACCACGCTTCCCCGGAGAAAGACACAGGTGGTAAAAGCAAAGAAAAACTCTTCCCATTTGCTTGGCATATGTTACTATTAGTCTAGAAAGCACCATTATTTATAAAGCTATTATAGAAGCAAACACACAAAACAAAAACAGGGAGAGGTTTTTTTTTTTAAGGGGGTAATAGGAAGGAAGAAGCTCCGGCAGCCAGAGGATTAAGTTTCAATTGAAACCTAAAGGTTCTTGTTTAGATCAACGTAGAACTCTATCTTCTGAACAGATATTTCCTAATGATAGATAATCTAAACAACTACGTCTTTTTTTTTTACAGTATTGATCCCTGAAATAATTAGTGGTGAATTTCAATAATCAACTGTGTTGATTTTTTTATGCTTAGCAGTAAATTTACAAAAGAAAAACATAACTTCCTTATTTAAAAATTAATAGTGCAAATGAAACTGGTCTGTCAGGGCTAAAATATTATTAAACAATGAGAGCAATAAAAATGTAATGAAAGGTTCCTCTGTGTAAAAATTCAGCTATCATAAACTAACGTAAATCCAGCTAACATCAAAAGCTGAAAGCGCCCCCACCCCTTCTGCAGTTTGTTGAGAGCAGGACAGGACTCTGCTTGTACCCACGCGGGGCCGTAATTGTAGTAGAGAAGGTATTAATGGAGAAGATAGTGTCAAAAGGAAATCTGATTGAATTATCTTCTACCATAAAGGGAAAAGAAAACAGTTGTATTTTTTAAACTTCACATTTTCATCAGGAAAGCACTGAAGTGTTTTTATTGCTAAAACGAGACTCGGGCCAGGCGCCCGACTCCGGGGCTGGCGCGCAGGCTGCCGTCTGCAGCGGCCCCTGGCGAGGAGCTGCGAGCCGCGGCGGGACGCGCGTGCGCCTGTGCTCTCGGGCCGTCCGCCCAGGGCAGACCCCCATCTCTTGGTTTCAACAATTACTAGTTGATAAGAGGTGAAATTAGAGTCACGGGCTACACACAACTCTATTTTTACAAATAAGAAAACCACGCTCCAGAATGTATACATCTGCTTCCCGAGCCACAGAGCTGGTCACGGCCGGCTGGGGTGCGGGCGGACCCAGGTGCTCCGGCCTCTTGCCGCCCACCTTCCAGCCTCCCTGATTTTACAAGCAACTCTGGGAATTACACAGGTGGTAGGCAGCTACCATCACGCTGTATCGGAAATTAAACTCAGAGGGGCATCTATTCCAAGGGAACCTATCCCCCCCCAAAAAAAATTTTGCTACTTAAAAACAGAATGTTTTCAAAATCCCCCCACCAAATTCCAGAAAACGTTATCAAGACCTGAGTTAAAACATTGAGAATTACCATCAGAAAAAAACAAAATACAGCCAAATGAAAACACATTGCTGCCCATCATCACCTTCTGAATCTCTATGATGTCTAGCTCCAGGTTTCTGGCCTACCGATGGCATGCAGTCAAGAAAATACTGAAAACTCCAAGAAGCATGTGGAATTTATAGTCTAAAGAACTTTCTACATAAAACTGAAAAATAAGTGGAAACCCATCTGTGTTTACTCAGGAAGTCTGGAAAAGTTGAGTAAAATGAGTTGGAAATACAGCTCTATGCTATAGTGATATTTACTTTATTTCCGTTCCTGCCAAAATAAAAGTTTGCTTCACTTTTATTCAACAAAGTACCCTTATTCTCGAGTAAGCCGCACCGCTCAAACAGACTCTTGAGAAGCAGAAAAGCAAACAGATCTAAAGAGAAATATACAATGATTTCATGCTTGGATTCTCTAGGCAGAGAACTGATTTTCCAGCAGACCCGGCCTGGACTGAAACTTAGAACCCGCACTGTGCAGGCTGAAGTGGGCTCCGTGGCTGGGAGGTGCGAGAGATGCTGCCCTGCTCTAGGGGGAAAGCAAACAGCGGGCCTGGGCATTTCCCAGGACCTGCACGCACACGCCCGGCGCTCGGGCAGGTGAGCACAGGCCCCGAGGCCGGGTCTGCCCGAGTTCCCTCCCCAGCTCCTGGAGCTGCTGGGTGGGCGACAAGGGACGGGGCTCCAGCGCCCCCGACCCTCGGCTGCCTTGTCTGGACCGTGGGAAAAGCCGCAGCACTCATTTGCCGGGGCTCTGGGGGGACCGGCTGGGGCTGCCCCTCGCAAGGGCTGGGCCCAGGGCCAGGCAGCCGGCAAACTCTCAGCAGACCGTAGCCGGCTGCACAGCCCGGGCTGAAGAAGGCCCTCGGGTTTCCTCTAACCACGGCTAATCCTTCGTTTCTTTTCCCCTCGAAGCACACCGTGTTTTATTAAAAATAATGCGCTAGCTTCGGACTCATCCGAGACCAGTGCACTCCAGCTCCCGCGTGCTGCCTGCGCTCGAGCACAGCAGAGAATCGATCAGGCAGTGAGCACTGACAGGGAAGCTGCAGTCCTCTGCCAGAGCATCCTGGGAGGTCAAAGGCAACCGCAGAGCCGACACGCGGGATCCGAACGGTAACCGGCTTCTACTTTTCATTCATTCATTCACTCACTCATTCATTCAAGACCATACCATGTTCTGAATGGCTAGTTAACTCTGTACATTCATTTCAGCTTCTTAAAGCCAAGCTGCCTGTAGCTGTCTGATGGAGGGGCTGCCTTCAAACCTGCATTTGGCCGACACGACATCCACATCACTTTCGCACGGTACTGGGGCTACTGCTACGGGCGCCTGCCGGCAACGTGGGGCTGACGGGCACGGTACTGTGGTCGGCTGTGCTTTTCTCCTTTTCAGATGGGAAGCTAAGGCCTGTGCCTTGGTCAGGAGAAATGATGTATACAACAGGACTCGAGAAAGCATTGTTGAATCCACAGGGCCACTAGGAATTACCTAACTCAAACCTCTCAATTTACAAATAAGGCCAAAGGTGGCCAGAGAGATTAAAAACTTGCCTAAAGACACTTCCTGGGCCGTGGCAGTGAGACTTAGGCCCCGAATTCCCAGACTCGAGTCCAATGCCCCCTCCCTTAGAGTTCATGCTGCCTGAGGCATGACCGTGACGGGAAGCAAAAGCTAAGGCCAAAACAGAATGAATGAGAAATGCCAACAACTGTATTTTGCTGGTAGTCTCAAAATCAAACCCCAGTCTGCTTTTAACTATTTGTTTCACCAACATCAACACAACCAAGAACACAATTAAGTGGAATTTTGTTCAGTTCTGGGTGTTAAAGTTTAAAAAGGACACACAGAAAAAAAAAAACCCTAGATTTCATTCATTGGCAAGAAACTTAAGCTCCCCTGCCCGAGCCGGGAAGGCTGAGCCAGAGAAAGCTCCAGGCCTCCTGGCTGTCATGCAGAAGGATGACGAGGCCCAGAGGGCCCCGGGCCGGGCCCCAGGAGGCAAGGTAACAGGCAAAGTTGGGGTTAATGGAGGCAAGGATATTTTTTCCAAGTACAAGCAATGGGTGAGCAGCTGCTGGGCCATCACAGACTGTGGTCAAGGAAGGCAGGTACAGGGGTGAGGTCAGGTGACCTTTGGGTCCCTCTGGCTCTCGGGACTGTGCGTGTTGTTGGGTCACTGCACAGCTCCTTCGGTGCCTGGGGCTGACTCGCCCCAGTGCTGCACACACCTGTTTTAGTGTGCACGTGCAGGTGCCCACAATAACCCCAGACCACCAGCAACCAGCTTCTACGTTTTTCCCCCTTCAAACGAGGATGCAAAAAGCACGTGTACATTTTTTTATTGCTAAGGCTTTTGATGTGCTTTGTTTTTATGTGAGATGGATATACACACCACTTTATAACCAATTTCCACAGCTTTTTCCTTAAATAAGGATGTGGAAATTCAGGTTTAAAACTAAAAAACAAACAAAAAACCCTATTGCTTTAGATGTCATTTATTTTCAGTTGTGTAAGATAAACACACACATGAAAATAAACTTCCACAGCTTTTTCTTCTAACTAGAAAGCAGACAGTTCAGGTTATGATTTTTAAAATCAAGTTAAATTCTAGAGTTTTGTTACTTGCTTTTTAATTGCTTGAGTTTTAGATATTTACAGATTGTCTCCTTTTAATTGTTTTACTTGTGTTTTTAACATGATAGGTATGTATACATTTTAACTTTTTATTTTATTATTTTCAAATATACAGAAAAGTACATAAAATGGTATAAAATCCACCCCCCATTCATCACCACATTCAACAATTAGTAACACTTTGCCTCATTTGTTTCATTTGAGGGGGGTAAGACTATGAGGTGATATTTTGACATTTCACCACTAAAAATTTCAGTAGGCCTCCAACAAAATTAGAAATTAAATCAGTTAATTATTTTAATTAATAATTTCTTAATATCACCTAAAACCCAGCCCACATTCATATTTGACAGCTATAGTTTGATTTGCTACACGGTTTCAAAATTTACAAGTCAGAAAAGAGATCTAAACATTTTTATGAGCTAGATCTGCAGTAAAAAAACACTGCATAAGTTACTCCATAGTTGTTAAAAATTGTATCAGACGAGCATTTTTCCCAAAAGTGTTTGTAGCACTTTTCCAACTTCCAGGAAAGTTGAAAAACTATACCCTCTACTTAGCCAATTAACATCTCGCCACATTGACTCTGTGTAGAAAGTTTCTGTAGAATCTGTGAGCAAACTGCAGACAGAACCTTCACCCCTAAGCACTTCAGAAACGGATGACATGCCATGTGTTTTTAAGGCACAAAATTAAAATACATAAATGTGTTTTCTTTTTCATTTTAACCAGGCAAACCATTTTTGTTTAATTGCAAATTCTATTTTTTAGATTGTCTGGACTATGAAAATATTTTAAATGATCTGATTGCTTATAATCTGAGATTTTACATAGTCTAATGAATGTAACATTTTAACTGGTATAACATACAGAAAATATTTTTTAATGCTCTTAGACATATATTTTTAGTTTGATTTAGAAATATGCTTTCAAGAGATTGTCTGCCTTAAATATCTGTATATTTTTGACACATCAATTTTTCCAAATTGTATACTTTAGGTATCAATTTTTAATTCTCAACTTAGCTGATATGTTTTTTCATTTCAGTTGGATTTGGAAATCTATTTTCAAGAAATTGCATTACCCATCTGTACATTTTCTGACATATCTATTTTTCCTAATTGTGTACTTTAGGTATCAATTTTTAATTGCTTGACTTAGCTGATACATTTTTTTTTTAAATTTCAGTTGGATTTGGAAATCTATTTTCAAGAAATTGCATTACCCATCTGTACATTTTCTGACATATCTATTTTTCCTAATTGTGTACTTTAGGTATCAATTTTTAATTGCTTGACTTAGCTGATACATATTTTTCTTTTAATTTCAGTTGGATTTGGAAGTCTATTTTCAAGAAATTGCATTACCCATTTGTACATTTTCTGACATATCTATTTTTCCAAATTGTGTACTTTAGGTATCTATTTTTAATTGCTTGACTTAGCTGATATATATGTATATATTTTTAAAATTTCAGTTGGATTTGAAAATCTATTTTCAAGAAATTGCATTACCCATCTGTACATTTTCTGATATATCTAATTTTCCAAATTGTGTACTTTAGGTATCAAATTTTAATTGTTTCACTTAGTTTATATATTTTATATATTTAAATGTACGGATATTTTATATCTGTACATTTTCTGATATATCTAATTTTCCAAATTGTGTACTTTAGGTATCAAATTTTAATTGTTTCACTTAGCTTATATATATATATATATATATATATATTTTTTTTAATTTTAGTTTTATCTGGAAATCTATTTTCAAGAAATTGTCTGCTTTACCTATATGTTCATTTTCTGACAGGTCTACTTTCCAAATTGTGTACCTTAGGTATCAATTTTTAATTGTTTGGCTTAGCTTATAGATTTTTTTTTAATTTTAGCTGAACTTGGAAATCTATTTTAAAGAAATTGTCTGCATTACTTATCTGCACATTTTCTGACATGTTTTTCCAAATTGTCCACTTTAGGTGTCAATTTTTAATTGTTTGACTTAGTTTATATATACATTTTTAAAATTTTAGTTGGATTTGGAAATCTATTTTAAAGAAATTGTCTGCATTACCTATCTGTATTTTTTGACATTATCTATTTTTCCAAATTATCCACTTTAGGTATCAATTTTTAATTATTTGACTTAGCTTATATATACACACACACACACACACACAAGTATATATATATAAGCTTATATATATAAATATATATTTTTAATTGCCTTAGAAAACCATTTTAAAAACCGGCCTGATTTAGGGATGCACTTTTAAAAAGCTGCCAGTCTCAGAGCCCAGGTTTTTAAACTGTCTGATCTAATTACTGTCATAATTAATAATAAAAAAGTCTCACATCACCCAACATTTCATAGTGTTCTGAACCTTATAAAAATTTAAAAGCAAACACTATTTTTTCATTCAATTAAAACAGACACCTTAGAAATGGTGGTGATTTTTAGTTGTTTGTATTTTCCCCCCCAGGGGATAGCATGAAATCAAGCCATTTTTAAGGAGCATGTAATTTTTATCATCTTCTTTAATAAAACTCAGGTTCCAATGTGGAATCTTTTCATTCAATTTCTACTCTCTAATTCTTGGCTTATTTCAGAATATTCTTTTCAAAATGAGCGCTGGAATTAGCCATTTCTATTTTACACTCATTTCAGTATAATACCATTTCAGTTTACAAATGCAAAAAGACCCCAATTCTTAAGTAAGTAAAAACATAAACACCCCCCACCCCCGTTTTCTGTGATTTCTGATCTGAGTGTACGTGATTGCATCCCTCAAGCTGCTCACACGGCTCCGACTAGCTTTTCTACTGGAACAACAATGGCCAAAGACAGTTTCCACCTGTGATTTACGGAAAGGAAAATCTGTCTGGGTGGACAACCTGCCCATAATTAAGACACATGGCGTAATTTTTCTGAAGCATTTAGGTAGTCATAAAGAAAAAAAAAAATGAAAAGGCAATACAGTCCCTAAGAGGTAAAGTGAGTGCGTGACTCCCAAAGCTGTATATTTCCAGTGTAATCCCCAAGAACCTGGTTTGGGGGCGAGTGGGGGGGGGGTGACTCGATTCCTTCTTCCTTCGAGGCTGCCCCTGGGCTGTCTACAGCCCGCAGCCCCCCTCTACAAATTAGTTTCAGGACCCCCCTCTTCCATTTGAGATATTAGAAAGCTGCTCATCATTACTGTCTTGTTTAGATCAGCCAGACAGCCCACCTCCCCCTCTCCTCATTGCACAGCAGAACACGGATGCTCACAAAGGAAAGGAAGCCCCCATCAGACACCAGCCCAGAAACATGTCATCGCGCAGGGCCCTGCCTACACGAGGCTCTGCTGCGGGGCTCCACGAAGGGCCAGGTTAATGAAATTAAAAACCCTGTGCTATTTGGGGGCTCATTTTCACAAACCACTGCTTTGTTTTGTTTTTTAAATTCGAATGGAGGGGAGAGCTTCATTTCCTGTCGGGGAAATGGAAAAGGAAGATGCTAGCACCTTCCAGTCTCACACACAGGAGCCCCCAGGAAAAACAGTGAAGCAATTATTCACAGGGTACACGACCACACAGCGGGCTGCGAGGCCATTAAAAGAAAAAGGGCAAAAAAAAACCTAACCCCCCCAAACCCCACAACTCCCTCTTCGTCTGGGGGGAGGGTGTCGTTCATTTGCAAGGCTTTGGACCTGCGATCCCTCAGAACCAAAGGGAGGCTCAGTACGGGGGGGTGGGGGAGGGGGGTGAAAAAACGAAACACAAAGGCTTCAGAAAGCCTCCAAATCTTAGTGTTAAAACATATGTAAATTGGAGGCGGATTGTCGTGCCGTGACGACGGTCGCGGGAGGGGGGAAGTGGGGTGCGGGGGCGAGGAATTGGGAGGGTTGCGGAAGTGAGGAGGGAGAGAGAGCAAGGCAGAGGTGGAGCGGGGACCTAACCCCCCCACCCCTTTCCAGGGTTACAGATGCCAAGAGACCTCGCATTACCGTATTACTCTTATCCTTTTTTTTTTTTTTTTTTTTTAAACAGAGAGACAGACAGAGACAGACAGACAGGCAGAGCCGCAGTGCACACGAGGCGTGTGTCGGAGAGGCCGCCCGGGGACTCACCGCAGCATTGCTACGTGAATGCAGAGGGCTGGAGGTGATGTGACTACTCACTTGCTCGGCTAACAGCTGCCGGTTTTGGATGGAATTATTCCGCAACAACAAGAAAGCGTCGGTTAAACGCCTGGTGGCCATGGCTCACCCTTTGTGAACCCCTGTTCAGGGGCCCCCCGCCCACTTATAGTCCAGATTCGTTCACTGTCTTGCTCTTGCCTGGCCTAGTCGGCCCACCCTTCGCAGCAGCTTCTCTTGAGAAGGCCTCAGACCCCGAGCCAGACAGGAGCAGCGCTGAGCCTCCTCCGAGCACGAAGACCCCTCCCCAAATAGCCACCCAGGCTTTTCAATTGCCTGAGCCCCCCTCCTCAGGCCTGCCTTCGATCTCTAAGCACTTAAATACCCCCAATCCTTGCCTAGCTGGCCAACCTCCCAGAGACCCCTCCCCAATCCAACCTCGGATCTACAAGCGTCTCACTCGCCAATCCAGCTCTGGACTGGGAGGATCTGAAGCCCCCTACCCCCCTTAGTCTCGGAGACCCTCAAACGTCTCTGTCTCCTGCCCTTAGCTTGGCTCACACGCGCGCCTGGGCCGTGCCCTGATGCCTGGGTCTGACTCAGTTTCCCCACTAGAGGCCTGGCCTTGACCCTCTTTGGACAACCGGGCGAGGCCACGGCCCTGAACCCCAGGGCGCCTGGGGCTGCTTTCGTGGGCCTCGTCTGAGCCTGCGGAGGCCCGGGCCCGACCTCCTGACCCCTTCCCTTTCTGGACTGCCGGCTCCTCCACTGCCACAACAGGCCGCCGGCCTCCAGCAGGGCAGCGGGGCCTGCCTGCCGGCCTCCTCACTCCTCTTCTGCGGCTCCCTCCATCCCAGGATCTAAGTGCAGCTCAGCCCCGGGCCGTTTCCGTACTGTGGTCCCGGGTTCTGGCGTTCCCCCTGGCCCTCTTCCTGTCCGTCCCTCGCGAGTGCCCCCCTGCGACGTTCACAAGCCCTGCTCGCAACGTTCCGGGCGCGGGAGCTCCCTGCCCCCTGGCCCCAGGGCGCGGGAGCGCTCCGCCCTCTCCCTGGGCGCTCCCGGGGCGCCCGGTTTTCCCTTCCCCAACTGGGCCCGGCCGCGGGGAGCGGGCGAGCGGGCGGGCCTGGGCCTCGAGAGTGTGGCCCCCACGCTGCAAACCGCTGCCAGGGGCCTGGGCGCGCACATTAGAGTGGAGTCGAGCGGCAGGCAAATTTGGGCTCCAGAAGGGCAGAAGTTTGAGGCGCGCACGGAGCTGGGGCGGGAGAGGAAAAGTTGGAGACGACTGCCTCTGGAGGCCGAGCACGCTCCACTGCAGGCAGAGGCTCGCGCTCGCTTTTTTTTTTTTTCCCCCAATTCTAAAAAAAGATGTATCTGAAAAACAACAAGCTTTAAAAAAAAATAAAAAAGGCAAAAGCAACAGCTAGAGCTCTAGGCCGCTTGGGCCGCGCCGCCGGCTGCAGTTGGGGGGTCGTGGGGGCGCCCACCCTCCCCGGCTGCCGCGTTCTGTAGGGGGCACTATAGGGTTGTGGAATCTCAAGTGGAAAACATCCCCCAAACTTTGACAGCCCCCCTCCCCCCAAATAACTTTTTCCTGCCGAGTGGGCCCGCGCACCCGCGTGCTGGTCCTGGCCTCGCGCCCCCCACTTTCCAGCCGCGTTTTCCCGCGGTCAGACAGGGTCAGGGGAGGCAGGGGGACCGGCCAGCGACCCCCAGCACTCCACCCGGGAGCCGGGTCGGCGGGATTCAGGCAGGGGCTCCGCGGATCCGTGTCGGTCTCGAGCCGCCCAGCCCGAGCTCGGCGAGCAGGGGGCAGGAGGCCGTCCCCGCAAGGGAGGCACGAAGCCCGCCGAGGCCGCAGCCGGGAGAGGTCTGGGCCGAGCGGGTCGGGGTCGCGGAGCCGGGCGGCTGCGTCTCCCCCGGACCGGGCGCCCAGGCCGGCCGGCTTCCCCCAGGGCGAGCCGAGACCACCGCGGAGCCGCCGGCCAGGGCTCGGGAGTGGGGTCTTAACAAAGGAAAATCGCCCCGAAATCCGGGGTCGGGCCCTGACCCCTGTATCTGTTCCTGCGTGACACAAACTTGACACACACGTGTGGCTTGGCGAGCGTTTCCCGTGTGCTGAGCACCGGGCTTTCGAAGAGCAGCCCGGCTAAGTGAGCCACACAAAGCCGCTGCCGCCGCTCACAAAGGGGCCCGGCGGGCGGCGCGGGGACCGCGGGGTCCCCACCGGCTCCCCGGCATCGCGGCGACCCCGAGCATTTCCATACACGGTTCTCTAAAGGAGGATGCTTCTGTGTGTCGGTTGTGACGCTAGACATGTTAGGATACGTTCGGGCGATACATCGAAATGCGTAACATAAGAAGAACAAGAGAGCGAGAGCCGGAGAGCCGGGCTGGCGCGTTCCTTTCGAGGAAGGGGGCTGCGGCTGCCGAGCCAGGGCGGCGGAGCGCGGCTCGCGGAGCAGGGGCGCTGGCTCCCACCTCTCCGGGCCTGGGCCGCGCGCGCGGGCGCCCCAGAACCCCGCGGCGTGGAGCCGCAGACAGCGAGCAGCCCGCTTTCCCGAGCTGCAGGCTGTGGCGGCGCGAAGACGCCGCGGTCAAGGCAGAGACCCCGAGTTATCTCGTGCAGGGAAATTCGGGGAGCCTCGCGTGGACCCCCGGTTTAGCTCGGCACCGCGGGGAATGTTTGCATATTTGCCGAAGGAGGGGGGGCTCTGTCCCCACACCGCCTGTGATCCCCCCAGTGACAGCCGACCCCGGCACCTGACTGGGACCCCCTGCTCCCCGCTGGGGAGGACAGGCCATTGTAAATAACAACTGAGCCCATCTTCGTGAGATCATCAGATTAGACAATGTCGCCCCCGCTCTGTTCCTTTCTCTTAAGCACTCTTCACCTTGCAAAGCGGGGACTTGTTTACTTCTCCTCGCTCTCTCCCGCAGGCTAGAACGTGACCTTCCTCCTACGCAGGGGCCGTGTATTATTTATCTGTGTACCCACTGCCATTTCCTCTGCCTTGGAATAGGCTCCGGATAAACGTTTTTAAAATGTGTGTATGAATGAATTAGAGACCCGCGGTTTAGTCCCCAAACTCTCCCACCTTCCTCAAATGACTTTAAGCCTTTATAACCCTTATCTGCCAAGAAAGCAAAAAAAAAAAAAAAATGTGGGGTTTTAATAATTCTTGTAATCCGTGCCCTGTCTACCTCCGGGAGGCTATTGTGTTGATCAAATGAGATAAGTGAGAACCTTTGTAAACTGTCAGGGGCTGAGCAAATATTAGATAGGATGGTTATTCATTCATTCCCTTCCCTAGGAAAGGACTGATTCCTGGCCTGGTGTTTTAGGGGATGGTGGTCGTCCTTCCTCGTCAGTCTTAAATATTTATTCCAGGGCAATCTTGTTTTTTTTCCTTTACATTTAGGGAGTCCATCAGGCTTCTGTTTCCGGGAGAGAAATGACCGGTGCTTGCCTGCACAAAGGATGGAAGAAGCATTCTCCTATGCCCCGAACAGCCACCCCAACCAGGCAGACGCAGAGCCCGAGCCCAGGGAAATGGTGAGCAGTCCCTGAGTGGCATAGCAACCCCAGGCAGCGAGCACCTGCCGCCCTGGCCGGCTCCGTACTGTGTGCGTGCAATGGTGTTAAGTGAAAAGCAGAGAGCCAGGAGCGGACAAGGACGCTGGCGGAGATGGCCTCTGTGTCCACCCTGACCCATATTGGGAGGGAGGGGAAGGCAGGGGGAGGATGTAAATCATTACATTTGAATGTTCCTTGGCTGTTTTATTTTCCTGTCAAGTGTCTTAAGCCTGTTTTTTTTTTTTTTTTAAGCGTTCCCTCATGGCCAAGTATGTGTTTCCTTGGAATTGAAATCTAGGTTGATGGTTTTATATTTTAAAAGCTTTCATTGTGACTCACTCTTGGCCTGGGCTAGGATTCTGTAATACTCCCCAAGCTCCAGAAGCCTGGGTGTCCTGTTTCTTGGGCTTCATACCCACTTTCTAACATTTTGCCAATGGATCCAAGAAGTCACTTTTGGAGACAAGTATTTCATTGTCTTCTCGTCCTCCTAATCCGTTTGGAAGGGAACCATACACACAGACGTTTCCAGCTTGGGCCAGGCAATGGCCAGCATGCTTGGGAGGAGGTTTCTAGTGTTAACAGGTTCGTGGTTAGACAAAATGGGTCAGCAGGGTGAGACTCACCCCCTCGGGTGAAGAGGTTTCATTGAGACAGGGTTCACGGAGCCCTCTGGGGCCCAGCGCGTACTAAGAGTCCTACCAGTGGGCACCCTGGTGTATTACAGAGCCGTTTCTGCTGGCACAGAGCGCGCGCGGGCTCCACCCTCCCTGGAAGGCATCACAGCACACTCCAAAGGGGAGGGCACAGTGGTGGGAACTGGGCCCTCTCCCAGCACATGGCCTCGATCCTGGTTCTGTGGCTCAGGAACCCAGATGTGAATGCTGTGTGCTCTCAGGCAGACGGTGGGTTTCAACAGCTGTCCCTGGGCGCCTCTGAACTTTGGCTTTTCTAGCACCTCTTGTAAGACCCTTGAAAAAAGGTCCTGCTTTTATCAAGATGGGCAGCAAAAGGCCCCCGAGCTTCATGAATGTCTCCTCTGCCCAGGTCCGACGTATCGCACCGATCCTGGCCAGATTTAGGAGAGAGGAGCTTTGGGTTCTGTCTCCCCAAATGACTCCTCAAAACCTTGAGCATGTCTGGCCTCAAGACACCCCCCAGCTCCGTCTGCCTTCCGCCACGAGGCCCCTCCCCAGCGCAGGGACTCGCAGAGGCGGCAGTGCCGTGTTGCCCAGACTCCCTTCAGGCTGCGGTTTGTTTTCGCCGCACAGTTCAGTGCAGTGGGCGTTTCTACGGGTGTGGCAGCGGCTGAGCCCGGCCTGGCCGGTCTCCACCACGTCCGCCTGAAGGCCGGTTCTCCTCGAGCGCGTTTCTCCAACAGCCTCCTAACGGGCACCCTCTGTTCCCCTCCACCCAGCCTCTGGCCCTGCAGCTGAGGGGACCTTTCCAAAGCACCAATCGCATCGTGTCCCTGCCTGACCGAGGCCCCGAAACAGCTCCCTCAGGCCCGCACCGGCGACAGGCAGCAGAGAACAGGTGCGCCCGAAGCCGGGCCGCCACCGACAGTAACTGATGACGGTCTCTGCTCGGTTGGCAGGAAAAAAATGTAGCTAATTGATGGAATAGCCTCCACGTTAAGTGTTCTTCCCCTCGCTCCTCCTTAAGCCTTTGGCGCCTGCTGTCCCTTGGCTGTGTTAGAATCTAGTACAAGACCGTGTCAGACTTATCCCAGAATCATGTGTCAACCTTTTGTTTTTTTCTCCTACGTCTACAATGCCTGGTGCCCTGTGCTCCCAGTGCGGCGGAGATGGCAGCCAGGCGTTCGACGTCCTTCCCAGCGGGCCCCACCCAAGCGGGGAGCTTCTTCCCTGCAGGGCTTGCCTCCTGGCGCTGCCCTCTGCCTAGATCGAGGGTCTTGCCCCTCCTGCCTGGTGAACGGTTCCCTCAGGACGTAGCGCCCCCTACTGTCTGGGGTAATAAATGTTTGTGGAATAGATGACTGGGTGGATTGACAGATAGAAAGAGGAGATTAAATATATTCACTACCAGACTAGACCGGATGGTCAAGAGCCTAACCGGGTGGGACAGGCAGACACACAGACAGGACGGCGGTCCGCTCTCCTGCTCAGACTCACCGGCCTTGTGACAATGTCTCAAGCCCGAGCACTCTCCTCCCCTCCTACCCAGCACCTTTGTGTGTCTGGCCCTTCTTTTGACTCGAGTCTCAGATGTCGCCCTGGGGAGCAGTCCCCGCACCTTACCAGCGGCGGCATTGGGAAAGGACTGTCAGCTCCCCGGCCCCTAGGCCCACCCTACCACGGGCGCATGCTCCGT